AAAGCCTCACTGACTTCACAAATATTGGGAAGAATGAATTCCATGCTTCTACACAAAAGTCCACTCACTCGCTATCCAAGTTCCAATCCAAGCTAGTTTCAGTTCTGCCCTTGAACTTAGCAAGTTGGTTTTTAGTCAGTGAAGTTGGATGATTGGTCTATCCCAGCTAGCAAGAATCCCTCAGTGTTTTATTTTCCCTGCAATAATAATAAAGAGAAAGAAAAGAGAATAAAATTTGACTTTTGACTGGAGGCCCCTTGTTGGGGAGGCTACTCTTTTCTCAAATAAATCTGCTGCATATCTTTAAAAGTTAAAGTATGAGGGCCATTTATTTTGTATTTTGCTCTGGCATCTTTTTTTTTCTTTTCTTTTCTTTTCTTTTCTTCTTTGTTTCTTCTTCCCCTCTTCCCTTCTTTTTTTTTTAAGCTATAGAGACCAAATTGATTTTAGGATTTAAGAATGCATTGACAATAGTAAGGTTTTGAGAACATCTTGTAAAATCCAGTCATGCTCACTGAGAGACAATGTAGAGCCTGGTGTAACAGCTTCCTGGTTTCCTTTTTTATTTATTAAGTTATGATTGAGTGTGTGCACGGTACCTGGGTTTTTGTCGGTTATGTGGACTCTAGGCAGCTTTGTAAATTTCAAGCCTGCATTATGCACGCTTTAATGAAGAATGAACTGCGATTCCCGGGGAAGCCTCTGGTTCAGTTGTGCTGCCTGTCCAGATGTGCAGCTGGCTCTACATCATGCCATGTACAATGCCGGCTGGTGCCTTTCCAGTGACATCTCGTTAAAGAATCAAAATCCAAAATCTGTGGTGAGGTGTACATTAAAAAGGGGCAGAGTTAGAATTGTGGTTAACTGTGCAAAATAGCTTAAAATGGAAAGTAAGCCGGGAGTCTTGCTGACCACGTGAGCCCGGCGCTGCTTTGATCGGCTGCTGTCTCCGAAGCTGCCTGCGCGTGCCATGCTTCCACCTTCTGTTGCTTGTCTAAGTGCCAGCTTCTCTCCCAAAGGTGTTCAGTGACTAATGCTTTGGTTCCAAGCCAGAATATTTTATGAACATCTATTTCTAAGCAGCTCTTGTACAAGTCTTAATTAAACTTTAATGTCAAGCTGAAGTTTACTTTTAGAGAACCTTGAAAGTCTCTCTGGTTGTAACAAGACTATAGAACAGTTGGGGGAAGGCAGCATGACTCTCTTCTCACCATTTAACATGCACTGCCAAGAAGATGCACGCTGGCTAAGCCCACAGGCTCACAATATGGGCAAACTGCACCACCTCCTGAGTACTGGGATCGCCCATGAGCACTCAGTCAAATTTCTCCAGGATGAAATGATAGCCAAGGCTAGAATAACTACTATTACTTATTACATGTTCTTTGTGCTGTTTCTCAAATCCAAGGCTCAAAAAGTAAAAGTGGTTCACATGGGGTGTCCTGTATTTCTTACTCTTCTTTCATACGGGTGCTACAGGCAACCCCCTGGGGCGTGGATTACTTTCTCTACTTCTACAAGGATTCTGAGGGGAAAGCCAATAGCCTCTGCCGGCTGAAATAAAGGAAGCCTCTGCTGAACTCAGAAACTCAGAATGGATCCAGGCATGTTGATGCAGACATGCAGTCATAGCACTCAGGAACATGGGGTAGGATCATAAGTTCAAGGCCAGCCTGGACTACATATCTCATGACTTTATTACATACACACTCACTCACACACACACACACACACACACACACACACACACACACATTACAATACAAAATAAATAACAAAAATAATGGAGTTTTAGTTAAGTTGAGTTACATAACATTGCTTGTTTGATTTGAAGCTATTTTCATCTGTCAATAAAGCTCTATAGCAAGGACCAGTCCATTCTTTTCTATAAAGAGAAAAGGAATTATTTCAAATTTCTTGGGACAGTGCACTAAGTCTCAGTTGCTTATCTGTGCTATCATAGTGCCAAAGTAAGAATGGCTGGATTCAATAAAATTTTATTTATGAAAATAAGAGAATAACGTTTACCTTTAGGCAGGAGTTTCGAGATGCCTGCTCTATTAACCTGCTTGCCTTTGTATGTGGCCATCATTTAGTATAGCTCTATTTTTCTAGGTAAAAATAGTTTCTTACAGTATATCTTATTATATAAATTTATTTTGTTAGTGTAACTTATTTTAGTTCCCCAAACTAAGATTCAGAGGTTTTAAAGAAATTAATCTTACATTAAAAAATGTTCTCTCAGATAAAAAGAAATACAGGGAGGGGAGGGGAATAGAGTGGGAAGAGAGAATACACAGCAAAACTACAAGTATGTATTCAACACGGGACTATTATTGCTTTTCAGTGAAAACTGCTGACACCCTGCTGATCATTGGAGGAAAAATAAGATCCTAGAGAGGATCGTTGACACTTAAAAACACTGATTAAGTTAATTTTATTTATGAAGCTTTGAACAAAAGAAACTACATTCAAAAATCACAGTTATCTAATACCATATAAATGAAATGTAAGACTGGGCAAAAGTAGAGTAGTACAACTGGGAAGAAGGCCCCCAGTGTATTTTCCATGTGTGTAGCATCTTTTCTTGGTTTAGGTACCAGCTTCACACATGTATTCATTTTTTCACAGATAATGAGATGTGCCTTAAGATGTTTGCTTCTTGCTACACAAACAGCTTTGATATGGGGAAGTATCAGAATAAAAAGGGTACAGTTTTTAAGTAGTGAGTGGTCCAGTTTCTTAGAAATATGCTATCAGGGTTTTAAGTGTTGGGGAAGGGTTCTAACCTACAACTTTGCTTATCTGACGATCAGAATACTTAACAATTTTGGAAAGTAATTTTCCTCTTCCAGTATTGATTTTGCCTGAGTTATATTGTGTCATTAGCTTGGTCATTTCAGGAGCTGTATCACTACGAACATATTTAGATGTCTCTAGAGTAGAGATCACATGACTTCATAGTGTTGGACATTAAGTTTCTTAGGGAGACATTTGAAATGCTTGTATCATTTTAGAACAGACAAGCATGCCCTCAAACCACAGTTTCACAGACTATATATTGAAGATTTCATAAGACTTTAAAATTGAATAACATCCAATATTCTTTGTTGTTTGTTTGTTTTGCTTTTTATTTGTCTCTTGAATGTAACTTTAGTCCTTTTCACCTGAAACTCATTTTTAACACAGTGACTATATTTCTAGGCTCAGCAAATTCAGATAACCATGATCCAGCTTAATGAAAATTTAGACTTGTGGTGAGAGGAAACTGACTTGACATTGTAAAACATGCTTCTGCTTGTCTCCTGGGTGTTAGCTGCTGTTTAAGCTGACCCTCGTGAGCAAGTACAAGCTAAGCTGGTGCACGGTGCACAAGGGAGAGGAAATTATCAAGGTGGAGGGAGCGTGGAGGAAGTCGTAAAGCATCTATGTTTGTTCTGTTGTCTGTACAAAGATGCAGCTAAGACAAAGGGATGCCTCGTGCAGTGGAAGGGAAGGTGAAGGCCCTCGAGGGCTGCAGTGTCATACTGAGAAGTGGCAGTGCTTTTCTCTCTCAGAGTCAGTGGCAGTGCTCTGTATTTGGCTTGATAGACAGGAGAGAATGAATGTGAAACAGAGGTATAATCAACAGCAACTCCAAAATGGTCAGACTATTTCAAAAAGATCTTGAAGAGTAGCAAACCTGAATATCAGATGAATAGAAAAGCAAAGAACAGTAATGCCTTCCCTGCCCCTGCCAAAAGTAGGTCCTTGCCTCCTCTTCAAGAGCTGGTTATTCCCATTTCCATTCCCATTTCCAAGTATTTCTAATGGGTATTTAGAGTTATTTTGGAAATGTGTCCCTTATCTTTCCTGTGAGGTGGGTAAATGCATTTTAAGAACATGTTTTGTGAGATAGCAATGGTGGCTGACTTAGTACATGGGACTATCAGTCTTACTAGGTGATTCATCCATCTCCAAGTCTTAACTTTAAATCAGAAATCTGAAATGTGTTCATAAGTATTCCTTTATGCCTCTTGTTGTTAAACTGTCTCCACCTGGTTGCTTTGGCATACAGCCTTCTCCAGTTTGAATTAATTAATCCAGTTTTCCTAACTTTGGAATTACTTGATGGCTCTGGGAGAAAATTTAGAAAATCATGACATACTGTAACTGCGATCTGTAAGGATTTTATATTTTTATTTTTCTGCCTAGAAAGGGTGGGCATTGTGCTCTGCAGAAATGAATCATTGGCTCAAGAGCTTAGACTATTCTAGCTCCACAGCTCTGAACATCTCCGTTCTGCTTGAAGTTCTGCATATTTGAAACATTTTAGGGATTTCATAGAATGCACTTGATCCAGATCTTCTTCAAATAGTAATTTTATCATTAATATAGATTGATTGCCAAGATCTGGCCCAGCTAACTGAAACCGTATCCCTAAAAGGCTGGTGGCTTTTCTAAGGTCTGTACCCACATGTCTAGACCTCCAGTGACCTTTGTTTTTCAGGTCACAGGATATTGAATAATTTCTGTGATTTAGCTTAGTCAGAGGCAACTGCTTCAGAAGTATAGTCTCCTTCAAAGGATCCCTGTACCACCCATGCACAGGCCAGAGAAGTACTATGCTGTACTTCTGCCCAAATCCCCTTATGCTTTTACATTCCCTTTTCCTCAGTTCCCCCTCTTCTAATCTTTACCTTAGATAGAAGCTAGTCCAATGTCTTTTCAAAGATTATAAAATTTATAAAATAATGAGGAAATGTTGGTTAGGCAAAAGGGCATTAAAACAAAAGACCATTTTATAGTAATTAAAAATCAAACAGGTAATATCAAACTTTTCTTAGGGAGCAGCTGGTTGATTGAATATATTTGAAATGAGAAATGGAAGTTTTTTTCTTTTTTTTTTTAAATCTGCCTATATTAGATCATTCATGGTAGTTTTTGTAAGTTAATAGTTTATATTCATGAATTTATATATGGAGGAAGATTTATTTTTACTACAATTACTTAATTTCTAGGCCATTTGAAAATAAAACTTACCTTGCTGTTGGAAGCATGAAGACCATCATGCTAAATGTGACCGTGTTCAATGCTGGAGATGATGCTTATGAAACAAACCTGAACATCCAACTCCCCACAGGCCTTTATTTCATTAAGATCTTAGACCTGGTAAGTGCTAGAAACCATGATAGTAGAACAAACTGATTCATGTTTAAAACAATTAAACCAAACATTAAGTTCTGAATTTACTCCACTGGTTTAGTGTAAACAACTGAAGTCGTCATCTTAAAGCTTTGACATTACTGAGTCTCCCGGTTGGTAATTTTGAGACGTTCTTTGTGCCCTAGCTCTGAAAGGACTCCTTGGGTACCTCTACATCCCTGTCACATGTTTTTAAGATGCTGACAGTGCTCATCTTGGAGCATCCTCCGTGCTAAGAAACCCAGAATTGATGCTCTACATTTTAGGTGGAGGTTCTCAGCCTTCATCTGGTACTTCTCAACTGCCAGCCTTCCTCAGCCCTGAAATCCTCTTTGCAAGCCGGGACCTGGAGTACAAACAGATCTTACGTTATTATACCATTCCAATTATTGCCGCTTTAGTTCATCAGTGAAGTATTAGTAAGGCTGAATTGCAAAGAGAAAAGCCTCCTGTGCATTTGCCTTGAGATCTCCCTATCCTCTAGACAGTCAACCCCAGGGAGTTTTCACCCTTTAAAAGTAGCTATTTGTGACTGGGTTACCTCAATCATGTACTCACTCATATAGGGATTTTAGACAAAGAACAAAGGATTACCAGCCTGCAATTCCCACCACCAGAAAAGCTAGGAATCTAGGAGGACCCAAAGAGAGACATACATGGTCTCCCAGAGAAGGGGAAAGGGACAAGATCTTCTGAGCAAATTGGGAGCATGGGAGAAGGGAAAAGGAGTTAGGAGAAAGAGAAGGGGAGAAGATGAGGGGAGAGATGGGCATGAGGAAACAGGAAGATTGAGACAAGGAAAGAACATAGGAGAACAAGAAAAGAGAGGCCATAATTGAGGGAGCCATTATAGATTTAAGGAGAAATCTGGCACTAGAGAAATGCCCAGAGATCTACAAGGATGACCACAACTAACAATCTAAGTAATAGTAGAGAGGCTACCTTTAATACCCTTCCACAATAATGAGATTGACAACTATCTTATATGACATTCTAGAGCCTTCATCTGGTAGCTGATGGAAGTAGAAGCAGATATCCACAGCTAAACATTAGCTGAACTCCTAGAATCCAGTTACTGAGAGGGAGGAGTAATGAACAAAAGGGTTAAGACCAGGCTGGAGAAACCCACAGAATCAGCTGACCTGAATAAGGGGGAGCTCATGGACCCCAGTCTGATTGCTGAGAAACCAGCATAGGACTGACCTAGACCCCCTGAATGTGGGTGTTAGTTAGGACGACTGGGCAGTCTATGGGGCCTCTAGTTGTGGATCAGTATTTATTCCTAGTATACAAATGGACTTTGGGGGCCCATCCCACATAGAGGGATACTTTCTCAGCCTAGACACATTGGGGAGGGCCTAGGCCCTGCTCCAAATGATATGACAGATTTTAAAGACTCCCCGTGGAAGGCCTCACCCTCCCTGGGCTGGGATTTGGTAAGGGACAGGGGAGGAGAGGAGGGTGAGGGAACTGGGATTGACATGTAAAACAACCTTGTTTCAAATTTAAGTAATAATAATAATAATAAAGGTATAAATAAATAAATACAATGCCCAATTGGGTTAAAAAAAAAAAAAGTAGGTATTTACGCCTTTCTCTAAATCACTGGAAGCTACTTCAAAAGGAGGGGGAGACATTCTAGGTCCTCAGAGCTTATACTTTGATATATATCTCCTAGTATTGCCACATTACAATTGAATAATTTAAACACATTTCATATGTACTAGACAGAAGGAAGTATGAACCTTATGAATTTCTCATTCCCTAATGTTTCAAAGAATTTCCTCTTAGATAAAGTGAGACACATGAGCGCTCACACCCAGGAGCTGTTTATGGAGAATTCACACGGGTGTTAGTAGATACCTATTGCTTACGTATACACATTTATATCATCTATTATAATTCTACATATTATTCCCAAGCTAAGCAGAAAATTGCTTCCTAAGAAAATATTTTTAAAAACCATCCCTAAACGTATGTTATAAATGTCTATTTCTCTTTTCTCTGACCAATTATGATTATTTTTTCTTTAGGAAGAGAAACAAATAAATTGTGAAGTGACAGAAAGCTCTGGCATAGTGAAACTTGCCTGCAGCCTTGGTTACATATATGTGGATCGTCTCTCAAGAGTAAGCATTTAGCATTTGTGGTTTTCATTTGCTAATAGGAATGTGCTCTTCTACCTTTATGCCACATTAAAAAAAAAAAATGCAATTTTGAATTTAGTTCTGGAGCTAAATGAGATTAAAGTGCCCTGATGTCTTTGAGCCTTGTGTTTATATTCTTGGCAATGTTCATTGTTTGGGGTGGGGGAGGGGCAGTGAGTAGGGGGTGAGCAGGGAACCTGTTTATGTCAAGACAGGCAAGTAAATGTGTCAATCAGAATGCATTTTGCCTGTTCACTCTTTTCCAACACCCCCACCCCAGGTGGCCCTGTCTGCCAGGCATGTTACCTCTGCTATACAAAAAAGGTGTTTTTGGCAAGAGTCCTCAACCAAGTTGTTAAAGCGTTCCTAATGGTGTCCGTCTGGGCCTGCCAGTCTTTACATTCAGAGAAGGCTTTGTTCCTGAAAGTGATGCATGGAAATACTTATGCTTTGAACCCAACAGTTTCTGTGTCCTGCTACTGAGTGAAGGGTGGAGCTTCTGCCACTCTGTTTTTCTTGAGAAACAAAAAATCTATTAAGGAAAATGAAAGTTTAATGTATAAAAATTTATTTTAGATTAAAAAGTGGGTATTTCCCCCTCTGCTTTCCAGATAGATGTTAGCTTTCTCCTGGACGTGAGCTCGCTCAGCAGGGCAGATGAGGACCTCAGCATCATCGTGCAGGCCTCCTGGTATGGTTCAGTGCTCAAGAAATAACCATCACAAAGGACATGCCACATTCTAGAGATGGCTTTAACAGATTCATAAAGCTGTGTTCTGACACTTGTCGTAAATGGCAACAGTGTAAATAATGAAAGCAGCTTCCACCCAACCCTGCCCTAAAATGTCTTGCTGCCACATCTCTTTTTATTGCTACTTCCCCCAATGCTACTAAACGGCCCTCCCTTAAGTCTGCACCGTATGCAGTCCGTGATTTCTGATGCGGGGTTCTCATATATGGTTCTCTGTTTCTACAGTGAAAATGAAGGAGAAATGGACAAAGTGAAGGACAACGAAGTGACTTTAGAGATACCTCTAAGGTTTGAAGTCACGCTGACTGTTCACGGGTAAGTAGAGGCAGAGGCCTCCAAATGAGAGAGGATTTTCACCACTACTTTTTGCTTCTGTTAATGAAAGAAGTGTGTTTGAACACATGTGAGTGGAAAAGATGCTGTGTCTCTGTGATTGCCTCTGAGTATAGTTGCTTGATTGGTGATTCATTATTTTAATCCACTCTGTAATCAGCCCTGATGCTACATCAAACTCATGGCCAGCTGCTAGAGATTTTGTTCTGGAAGAACCCCAGCAAGCTTTCAGCAGGCCTATGGTCATCCTTCAGTTTGAAATCAAGAGGCACCGAGTTAGGTAGTGTGCAGCTTAGGGCATGGTACTCAGGGTACTCGGTAGCTATAGTAGGGGAGAAGCAAAGGACTGTTTGTGCACTTAGCCAAGCTGCCATCCTTCAGAGCCCACATCTGCCTGTCTGGCAAATGACTATGACATGACAGAGTAGGCTCATGTTCTATTCTTGAACCCCGAGAGTACACCTCAGTCAGAATCCCGGGGCCAGCTTTATTGTTTCCTTGTGGGTTTTGTAATTTGTGAGAGGATCTTTCTCTGATTCAAAATGCGTGCCTACAGAAAGATGGGGTAACAAAACCTTTCATGCCTCCACTGGCAGGACCTCAAGCTATTGGTCTGTCTTAAACATTTTTGTTGTTTTGGAGATAGAGTTTATGTCTATGTGGTCCAGTGTGGCCTGCAACTTGTGTAGATGAGAAGGATACCCTAGAGGTGTTGGTGATCATCCTAGCTCTGCCTCCTGGATGTTAGCTTTACACACAAGTGCCTGTGTGCCCGATAATCACTACACTACAGATATTTCACGCAATGTATTTTGATCGTAGTCATCTGTCAACTCCTCCCTCTAACTCCACCTAAATCCACTTTACCTCCCTGAAAGACCCAAAATTCATGTCATTAAAAAAAGAATCAACAAACTCTAATTCATGCTGTCCATGTATTCCTGAGTGTGGGGCCATCCACAGAAGTGTGGGTCAACCTACGTGGAGCCACACACATAATAGAATACCGACTCTCCTTCCCCAGAAATCCTTATCTGTCCACAGGTTTTTAGTTAGGGATGGGGATACATGGTAACACTTCCCATTTCATGCTAGATGATACATACTTTTTTAAAACACTAGAAGATATGACTTAACAGAATAAAATGGGCAAATGAATTTTATTTATTGCTCTAAATATAATGCATCCCTCCATCATTTTAACCATGTGTGAAGAAGGCATCCAACTGCATAAAATATCGCTTTCTGTCACTGACCTAATTGAGTATCAGTTGTATGAAGGAAGGAGAGAATGGTCCTTCTCGGCAAAGCTGATTGGTGTCTCCTAACATTGAGTGTACACGCCACTTCTCCATTTCTACTGTTCTCATGTTAGTATTTGGGCCAGAGATAACAAGTATTAAACTGCACAAGTGTGTGTCCTTGGCTGATTTCTAATACCTTTCCTGCCTCCTGGGTTTCTGAATATGAGTGACTCCTGGAGTAGGGACTTCCCCAGAGAAGCGCCGCCCCGGTGTTTGTTGCTCAGCATACATTTGCCTAATTACAGGATTAAAAAATCAAAAAACTAGTGTCCTTGCAAAAACTTTGTCATGCAAGTCGGTGTTTGGCTTGTTCCCAGAATTTTGAGGTTCAGCAGCAGCAGCCATCAAGAAATAATAAACAGGGTAGATGGAGCTACCACATCCCAGCCCCCACACATGCCTGAGGGAAAGTTGAGGCTTCAGCTCAGGCTTGTCCAATTTGCATGAATCATTTTCGGGCTGAAAAAGTGCAAACAGCAACAAGCCAGCAGGTGTGTGAAAGACAAATATATATAATATATATATTGTGTTAGAATAGGCATGGACCCTCAGGTCAGAGCACATGGCCTTCCATTTTTGATCAGTTATTAGAGCTTTTGTCCAACCAAGAAACCAAGAGGATTCTGCGTTGCCTTTTAAATGTGCTATATTCTACTTCTAAAGACAGACTGTATGCCCTCATCAAAAAGACAGTATGTTCAGCCCGACCTTGTTCCCGGCAGGTTTGTGAACCCAACTTCATTTGTGTATGGATCAAGTGAAGAAAACCAGCCGGAAACATGCATGGCAGAGAGGCTGAACTTCACATTCCATGTACGTGAGGCTGGTGATGTTTGTGACAGATGAGAGGGAAGAAAGGGTTGGTCTTATGCCCTGCACCATGGGGATTCCTGTGCCCACAGTGTCCCTCACCCTCAGTGACTGGCTCTTGGCAGCACTCATGTGCTGACTCAAGCCCTGCCCTCCCAAGCTTCTGTTGCTTTTCTCTTTTCTCTTGTCTCAAATCTTCTTTCTAAGATATGTGAATGCCTGGGACAGGTAGCGCTGGGGATCTCCTGACCCTTCTGAAAAATGCATTCAAGGCATTGAGCCAAGGGGGAAACACGGTTGGGGGTAAATCAAGAAATCTATAGCTGTAGAAGCATTTACCTTACCTTTCTCCAGGATCAACATTGTTGGTCTGCTGTCCAGACTTCAGGATTAGGAGAAGCTTCATAAGTATTGAGTGACATTTGCTTTTCTAGTTCAGAAAATACTATCATATAGAAGTATTAACATACGAATATAAAACTCATTTTTAAAAATGTAACTGTTGAGCAGAAATTTTAGCTGGTCACAGATGTTAAGAGGTAACATTTATGAAAATATTTGTTTTAGTCAAAAGCACTGTCCAACTATTGTTTGAGTAGTATAATAGTGTACAGAATGCAAATCTTGGATTACACTGTGAAAGTGCCAGTGCATTCTTACTGGGCCAAGGTTACTAGGCTGGTGAAAAATGAAAAGCAAGCGTATGTTAGAGGGGCTGTTTGAACTGATTACACTGGAAAAATTCTGACTATGGATATCCTGCCTGCTTTGTTTTATATTTGCCAACTATACACCCTCTACTTTGGCTAGTAATTCTGCATTTATAATTATGAAATATACTTTAAATCCTGTTCTTTCTTTTTCAGGTTATAAACACTGGCATTAGCATGGCTCCAAATGTTAGTGTGGAAATAATGGTACCCAATTCTTTTCTCCCTCAAACTGATAAGTTGTTCAACGTTTTAGATGTCCAGGTAAAAAGATGTTCCCTTTGTCTGACATACATTTGAGTGTGTCTTAAATACCAACCCTTTAGCCCAAGGACTGTTGCGAAGATGGAGACTCCTAGTCACTTCGGTCCCACTCGAGGCTGTGAATTCCGTAAGCATTCACTAAAAGGACCCTGAATGTAATACATTTCTTCAGAACAGTAGCTCAGAGGTGGCACCATACACAAGCAGAAAACTTGGTTCTTCTTATCTTTATTGTTTTACATCACTTTCTTTGGGATATTATACATGTATAGATTAAGATACATGGGACAAGGTTATAAATATGGGTTATTATATTTTATTCATATATTTATAACAGGTGTGGGCAGGGTGGATATCTCACTACAATTCCCCTTTTAGTTTAAAGAAAAGATTTAGGCTTGATACAAAACTATACACAAAGACAGAAACTATCAAGTATGCTCTAGGAGAAGGAAATGTAAGAACATTCACAGTTAAGACCTATTGCCAGTGAAGGAACAAAAGCAAATAACAAGACCTAAAGGAACTATAGGCAGTGGTAAAGTTAGTAGAATGTTCCACAAAGCTTGAAGCCACTATGGCAAGAACAGGAAGGCAACCCCTCTTTCACGAAACATTTGAATCAGTTCTTATGCCAATGTTTTTGCATTGGTTCATGAGATTTCTTTTTGTTTCATTTATATATTTATTTATATTGAATATCTATCATTTTACATTCCAATCACAGTTCTCCTTCCTACCCCTCTTCCTGTCCCCCTCGCTTCCTTCCCAGCCCACCCCCCATCCATTCCTCCTAATAGGTAAGGGATCCCACGTGGTGTCAACAAAACTTGACACATTAATTTGAGGCAGGACCAAGCCCCTACATCCTGCTTTAAGGCTGAGGTTGGCATCCCACCATAGGGAATAGGCTACAACAAGCTAGCTCATGTACCAGGGATAGATCCTGGTCCTACTGCCAGTGTCTCCTCATATAGTCCAAGCATCACAACTGTCTCCCAAATAAGGAGGACCTAGCTTAGTTCCATGTAAGCTCAACAGCTGTTGGTAAGCTTTCTTTTTACCTTTGAGTATCACAAAACAGCAATCACCTGAAAAGCCTATATAAGGGAGATTAGAATCTTCATTTGAAAATTTACTTGAGTTTCAGATTTAGATGCTAGCATGTATAATTATAACATATTTTGTTCTGTGAAACCAAATCAGACTAATGCTCAACTACTATTCCTCTTTGCATTTCAGTGAAGTTGGACCTTGTTGTCAATCCAGGACCTGCTATAATTTGGCTGGGGTTTTGTTTGTGGATTTGCCAGAGAGTTACTCTTTCCCAAATAATACTGTCAAAAATACTTTCACAATTTCAGAGATGCTTAATGTATTGTAGTAAAAATAATGAATTGGAACTTTTAAAGTTATGTTTGTGTCAGCTCTTTCCAAACAGATGATGTATGTATGTATGTATGTATGTATGTGTTTATTTATTGTTTTCTGTCTTTAGGCTACTGCTGGAGAATGCCATTTTAGACGTTATGGAAGAGAGTGTACATCGAGACAACAAAAAGGCGTAGCAGGGACCTTGACAGATATAGTTACATTCCTATCAAAAACTGACAAGAGACTCTTGGTAAGTTTCTTCTTCAGATAGGTATTTCTGCCTTCCAACAAAGAACTAAAACATTTGAAACCAAATTCACTGGGGTCTTGAGCTGCCAGGTTGCAAGGGATACAATCTCTGGTGATATTCCCACTAGTAAGGAACATGTAGTTCTGAGATGGGCCCAGGACTAAGTGTATGTTGTAGGGTTTCATTACCTAACAAATGTCCCCCATGTGCTATCCAGACATTACCCCAGAACCCTCCTGACACCATGTCACCTGGGAAGCCATATTTATAGCAGGAGATTCTCATTCTTCCCATTCCGGTGACTTTATAAGAGAAAGTAGAGAAGTTGTGCAAAAACACACAGAGTGTTTAACTTAGGGAGACTCTTAATTTCAAATCTTTCTTTTCATCTTGTCCCAGAAGGTTCAGTTACTAAGAATGATAGAAACACATGTTACACTTTGAATACTTTGCTTTAATTTACAAAACAAAAATGCTTGTTTTATTTAAAGCAAGATGAGTTTTAAATGCTATGAAGGGAAAATGATGTTTATTAAAAGGACAATTTGATGAATGCCATTAAGGATATTTAAAAATTACTTTATCATATTCACTTGTGTGAGTGTGTACATTGGTCCTGCCTTAATTTGATTTGCTAGCACTGGAGGCCTTACCCTTGCTGAGAAGTGGAGTGGGTGCTGAGTGGGAAATAGTGGGGGATGGGAGGAGAGGAAGGAGAGAAAAACGAAAGCATTGTCAGAGGACAACTTGCAGAAGACAGTTCTCTTCTACCAGTTCTGGAGGTTTGAACCCAGATCTTCAGGTTCAGCAGCAAGTAATTTTACCTGCTGCCAAGCCTTCATGCTGCCACACTAAGGAGTTTATTAATCTATGTAAAGAATGTTTCCAAATGTAAAATTCATAGTTTTAAGAATTTTTTGAGAGAATACAGGTGTGCTGCAGTGTATTCATAGTGTTCAGAAAGCAACCACAGGAGTTGGCCCTCAACTTCTACCTTGTTTGAGGGTAGCTGCCCCTTAAACTTCTCTAGTCTCAGACTTCACCTTGCAGTAGAAACAGTGGTATTACAGGTACAGGCAGTCCCCCCCCAGTTTTGTACAGGTGTGGGGGACTCAAACTCTCATTTATTCTCATACTAACATGGCAAGCATTCTAGCCACTGAGCCATCTTCTCCAGCTGTCAATTTTTTAAATGTAGAAAATTTTAATGCGGTGTTTTTACATTCTCTTCAAGTATTGCATGAAAGCTGATCTACACTGTTTAAATTTCTTATGCAATTTTGGGAAAATGGAAAGTGGGAAAGAAGCCAGTGTTCACATCCAGCTGGAAGGCCGGCCATCCATCTTGGAAATGGTGAGTCTAAAATCAAATGGATAACTTTGTGATGTAGATCTATAAACTTGGTCATTTTTACATAGACAGGATAGTATGGAAACATTTTACAAACTATAGAGAGCAGAATACATTTTGGGAATAAATCCCAAATCTCATTTTCATTACATTAAGGGACAGATAAACTGTGGAATCATTAGATTTAGTTTAGAAAGCATGCCACCCTCTATGAACCCCACGGAAACAGAGGAACTTGACCCTTTCAGTTCACATAACCTTTAAATCATCCTTTAAAATATAATGTTTAAAAACTATAAACCAAGAAGTAAAATTAAAATGATTTAAAAGAAAAGCAGACTAACACATCAAAACATATGAACTAAACGTGGGTGTGGTAGCTCATGCCTGCAACACCAGCACTCCAGAGACGGAGGCCATGAAAATCACAAGCTTGAGATTATCATCAGCTACATAATGAGACTCAGTTTCAAAAAAGAAAAAAAAAAAAAAAACCCAGTTACAGCAAAATTCAGTAACAAAAATACATTTTGACAATAACAAAGTTTAAAACTTCAAGTTAAAAAGGGATTAAATGCATTTTGGCCCTTTAAAAGAGCATATGTTTTATGAGGAGCCTCAGGCGACAGGAGAAAACCTGAAGTATTTTTTTTCAGTTTCCTCATCTGGCCAGTGTAGATAGTGGCAGTGGCCAGTGTAGATTAAGGCCAGCCAATGGAGCTGAGATGAATTTTATTCCCATATTTTTAGTTGTCTCTGTCCATAATAGCCAAAGAAATGGATCTATTATACATTCAGTAACACTTTTTGAAATTACCACATAGTGGTCAAAGGAATTTTCATCAGACAGTAAAAGGAGAGATGTCATTCATCTTAGCTTCAGACATGCTGTAAAGTCACATGACCAGCAGCAAGCCGTTCAGCCTTGATAGCTGCTTCTCATATGCCCCAAGTTTCTCAACGGGGCACTACTGACATGGTGGACAGAAAATCCATTGTTGTCAGGCTGCCATACACACAGCAGCTCTACACACCAGTCAGTTCCTGCCACTGTTCACGTCCTTACAGTCAATGGTGTCCCTAGACACTATATACCCTCTCTAGAAGATCAGTTCTCTTGTTGAAAGAATGCTGTAGGTCTAGGTGAAGTTTGCAATTATATCAAATAACTTTTACCCAGTAGATTTTAGCATTCTTGGGCAATAGACCTCTTTAAGAATCTAGAGACTAGGACCAAATGGGAGAGTGCTTGCCTAACATGCACAAGCACTGGGCTCAATCCCCAGCACTGGCACAAACTGAGTGTGTGGTACTTCACACCTGTAATCCCAGGACTATATTAGAAATTCAAGGTAATTCTCAGCTAACATGGTAAGCTGGAAGCCAACCTGGGCTACGTGAGATCCTGTTTCCAAAAAAGAAAAGAAGCTTGCTAAAATTCCTCAGTTGTTGAAGCTCTTCTATATAGCATGATGGTCTGAGTTTGATGACCAGAAACCACATGGTAGGAAAACCAACCCCAACAAGTCGTCATCTACTTCCATATGTGCATAAAAGCAAATAAATGGCATTAGTTATTTTTTAAATTATACCTAAATACTATGGTCTTCCTCACTCCTATAAATGTACAAGTGCATCTATTTTTTAAATATTCATAGAATCTGCTACCTTATATGCCCTTCCCTAATAATGAGATTTATAACTAATTCATATGTCATCATAGAGCCCTCATCTAGTAGCTGATGGAAACAGAAGCAGACAGGCTACAGAAACCCACAGAGATAGCTGATCTGAACAAGTGGGAGCTCATGGACTCCCAGACTGATAGCTGGGAAACCAGCATTATACTGTCTCAAACCCTTTGAACATAAGTCTCAGTTAAAAGTTCTGGGCAGACTAAGGGACTTCTGACAGTGAAACCAGGATGTATCCCTGGTACACAAAAGGACTTTGGGAGCACATTCCCCATGGAGGGTTACCCCCTTAGCCTAGAGACAGGAGGGAGGGTCTAGACCCTACTCCAAATGACTTGACAGATTTTGATGATCCCTCCTGGAAGGCAACACCCTCCCTGTGCAGTGGGGGGGGGGTATGAGGGTGTGATGGGAGGGGATTTGGGGGGCATGGGAGGGAGGGAGAGGGAACTGGGATCAATATGTAAAAATAATAAATAAATAAATATTAACAAAATCTCTAAAGCCCATTCACAGATCCACAGGCTTTATGGATTCTGTCACAAACTCTCTAATTGAAATACTAAAGTTCAGAATTCACCAGCAGATGATCATGTACTTGAATTTTATTATTATTAAAGCAAAAGCAACATGTTGTCACTGAGATAGTAAGGATGTACATATTTCATTCATAAGCAAGTAAAAGGCAAACCTGAGTGAATGTTCACCAGGTTAAGAAGTCTTGCTTGTGGGTAAAATTTAATATTTCTGAGAAGATTATATTGGTCACTAATAATATTGCATATTATAACCTGACAAAAATATTAAAAATCAAGTGATTTGCAACATAGCCCCATTTAATAAAAAGGGGTTCTGTGAAATAGATGGCCATACTTCAGAGCCCAAAGGAAGCAATTATAGTTCAATAAGTTATAGACATTCTAGATAGAAAAGGAGGCATTTTTCATTGTCTTCAGGAAATAAACCACAAACCAAACTCTGTTGATTATTTCTTTTCAAAAAAGGATGAGACTTCATCGCTGAAGTTTGAAATAAGAGCAACAGCTTTTCCAGAGCCACATCCAAAAGTTATTGAACTAAACAAGGATGAGAACGTTGTCCACGTAAGATCACCATTTTAGACGCCATATGAAAACTGTCTGGGAAATAGTAGGAGGATATTTATAACAAGTATAACAAGTACCTTTTGGGGATCCAAGCCTGGACTCAGTTCGTGACCATGTTATAGAGGACTTTCAACCTTTATCCACCTTCCATAACCGATAGGAAGTACACAGAGAGCAGCTTGCTAGCCGTGAGGATGGAGACGATGGGAGGAAGGGCCATAGATAGACAAGTTCCCCTTGCTGCTTCTGAGGACTGAAACTAGGATCAGGACAGGATGGGATGGGGAGTTCTGGCCTCTGTAGGTGCCTGAAAGGCTATTAAAGGAAACATCAGCACTGCTGTTTCTGAACTTGTGTTTGTTCTACTTGTGCAGGTTATCTTGGAAGGGCTCCATCATCAAAGACCCAAACGACATTTCACCATCGTGATTATAACCAGCAGCTTGCTACTTGGACTTATTGTACTTTTATTAATTTCATGTGTTATGTGGAAGGTAATTCTTAACAGTTACTAATATCTTGTGTTTTATTAACAACACACCTTTAATAATTACTAATAGTTAAAGTACTCAGAATGCCTTTAATGTCTCAAAGCCAATTTGGTTCACTATTTACTTTTCTCATTTTAGTCATGAGAGGAATGTTTAAACTTACCTTAGATTTATTCTAATTTCAAGAATCCATTTGGAAAATGCATATAATACTGAATTGAATATCAGTATGTGGTGGAGTATGTATATGTCACTCACAAGTCCAGTGTTAACTCTCCATGCCCCACACTGACTATCAACTTTACAACCGTCTTCACAGCAAGTGTAACCTGGGGCAAAGTTTTAAAAGTATTCTACACTAATTAGATATATATGATGTAAATAGTATGGGTTCAGAATTATACACATGTTATCTAATCTGTTTTCAGGCTGGGTTCTTTAAAAGACAATACAAATCTATTCTACAAGAAGAAAATAAGAGAGACAGCTGGAGTTATGTCAACAGCAATGATGACTAAAGACTTAAATTGAGAGAACTGAACAAAGACTCAGGTAGGTTAAGAAAAGACCCTGTTCATAAGACCCCTGATAATTTCTCTTTGTCCATGTACGTGTGATCTTGTAACATACTATGTCTTAATGCAGGGAAAATCTTCAAGAAAGAAAATACAAAATGGATGGTTAGAGAAAAACACTAAAGCTATTGACTTACTCAAGAGAAGTGAACTCCCGAAGACAACTTGAAAGAAACTCCAGATTTTGCCAGACAGACTTAAAAAGGAACAGTCTTCTGAGGAGATATTGACTGTATGTGCTTGTGTTATTGGAATATATGACACAGAATGGGCACTTGTTGGTTTCAAATACTTATGAGACATTTTCAAAATATGAGGATGATCTTTGAAGCCATTTAGACTCTTTCAAAGAGCTGTCTCCAGATTTTCTAATGGATTAAATGATTTTAAACAGTGGGTTTGAAGATTGTCACTGGCGGCCCATCATCACTGGGCTGTGCCCCTATAGCCCTTTATCCGGCAGATATGGATCTTAAATGCCTGGTGAACAATATCAGTGCAGAACAGGGTACTTCTGGACAAGTGTGGCTTCTGAATCAATAGCCAGCTTTGGACTCTCCCTTGTATGTACAAATAGTTTTCTAAAAGATGCGATTACCCATCTACTTATTTTATCAAGAGCATCTGGGATTTTTTTTTTCAAAATTTTATTCATAAAACCAATCCTTAAGAATTTTATCCTCATAGCAGATTATAAATATTCCACATTAGCTGATTCATGATGTTATAATATAAACTGTAGCTCACTGGTGATTTAAAACTTCAAAGAAAGATTAGGGAGCTAGTATTTCATAAAAAAATTTACTGTTTCAAATGAAACAAACATGCATATCTGCTAGGATGTTGTTGTTTTCCTTATTTTGCTTAAATGCATATAAACCAGGCCTGTATAAAAACATTGTTTTAGATATGGATAAGCACATTCATAGACTGAACTGCAAGTCACTGATGAAGCTTGTATGCAGTGACATAATGTGACATCAAAATTCCCACAACATATGTAAATTTGGTATTATATAAGGTTTTATTTTAAAGTGAACTACTTTCTACTTGGGTTTTACATAATCATTTTTTGCACTATTTATTTCATACATGTGTTTGATAAATATAAATTTTCATCTAGATCTATTATGTGTAAGAGAGCTATGGCCAGATTTTGAACATGTGTTGGCTAAAAGAGGCAGCCTTCACTGTTAAGAAGAATGATTGCTTCACTAGAGATCCTTTCTGCCAGCTGGCCCTTCCTCAGATTTCCTATTCAACACAGTTGACAGATCACAAGCCAGTGGTCTGTGGCTGGAGAACATGGGTGTGCTGGGGTTTGGGAGGAGTTTGAGGAATGAAACTTGAGTACAAAACATCAACTCTGTGCTCACACTCACACACACATGCGTGTGCACACACAAAGATATATTTAGTTACATGTTTGTATTTTTAAAGGATTTCTTTTGTATAAAAGGTATATATTTATGGTTTCTCATAAAAAAATTCAAGTAGTTATCTCATGAAGGTGTCAGTATTAATAATAAAAGCCAATTTTGGTTTTGGCCTATCGTTTTACGGTATGGTCTCTGAGGAAATTTAAATTTGGATCATTACACTGAAAACTGAGTGCTGTGACTGCCCAACCCTTGCCTTTCAGGTACAAAGGAACACAGCTACCTCCTGGGCCACATTTTAGCCCAGTTAGAAAGATATTTTATATATATATTTTAAATAAAACTTAATGTAAATTTAGAAGTTTACCTGTATAATAAGCTTAAAGATCTTACTACTTGCTACTTTAAAAAAAATGCCATTATGGGGTTGATCTGGGGGACAATAGCTTAAGTGGAAAGATTTTTTTTAATTAAGTGTATATTCATGGTAATATTGCTAGCTCCTTATGGAATTTGAAATTTACATTAATTGCATTAAAATAGACTTTTTAAATAGACATTTTCATTCAAAAATGCATTTTCTATTTGTATATGCAGCATAACAGATTCCTTCATAATAAATTTCTTCTTTACATATATCTTTTATATGTAATTTCATGCTACTTTGGAATTATTCATTTCTTCCAAACTTCTTCCATAAAGCCTGATCATTCTTGGGTCAATCTGTAAAGAACAATATAGAATTGATTATTTCGTTTACCTGTCATTGTTATTTTTCACCTGCCTCCCATGGTACATAAAGCACTGACTGACAACCAACATGCATACATTCATAGCAGGATCAAAAGCTAGAAAGCTGTTCATATTCATCCCTCACTCTTATAAACATGTACACAGTGAGAAATACTTTGTAGAGCTTGACAAAAGCCCCCAATTACTTTATATGCTAGCTTGAATAAAAAGAGAACTTGATCAAAAACACAGCATCCAACACAGTATAACAGTATTACAGCCCAATTTTGGGGGAGTGGTATAGAGACTGTGGTACTATATTATTTTCAAAATGTTTAAGACTACACTCTAAGAGCAACAATATTAATTGTAAATACATTATCGGTATAGTTTACACAAAATAATGATTTACAATGCCAGCACAAATACCCATATTTGTATTACCAAAAGGTGTGTATGCCTTCTCTTTGGGCAGCTAAGAAAAAGAATCCCTATAATTTATTATTGGTGTTATATCTGTTGTTCTACACAGAGAGTGGTAGGATAGATGGTCTTACCTAGTGTGCACCTAGATGCAGCTTCCATTAAGTCTCCATCTGCATTCCAAGGAAAAGCGTTTTCTGGGACAGTTGCATGGTTTCTGACCCTCCTCCGGCTGGTTGTATTCATTCCTATCATTCTTTGGGTTAATTTTTTACTTCTTCAATGGTACAAGTCTCCACAAAGGGAACATTGAACTAAATAGAACAAACACACATAATAGTGATGCTTCCTTGTGCCTCCTATTACATGTAAGTGTCACCAACATACTGAAATTTTTTATCATTTTGAAGCTCTGACCAAATAACCCCAGGTTTTCTGGAAAAAAAAAAAAACTGGAAGCTTTTCAGGCTCGATCAGCTCTACTGAGTAATGGACAGTTCATACTCATGAAGAATTTCTAGAAATAATGATGCTGTAATTTTGAGTTAAAGATAGACTTTCCCATTGATCTCCCTGACTTCATTATTGCCTTGTTTAGCTAATGTGAAACAAATTCCAACATAAGCTTCATAATGGGAATTCAATTCAGAAGATACTAAATCTAAACTTATAGAAAGTACATAAGAAAAAGGGAAAAGGCAATCGAATACGATTTCCCAGGTGTCCTCCTGCCATTTTAACAAATGGACATAAGTTAAAAGATAGTTTATATTAACCATTCTACAACATACCACCAGGAAGGGAATGTTCAAATTGTGCTTTTGCATCTTTGCCAAAGAAAATTATCAAGGGTTGGGGAAACTGAATCCTCATTTATATCTGTATGGCACCTTGCAACTGGAGGTTTCTGTCCCTCCAGGTCTTGCCTCCCTTGAGTCCCAGACACTATATTAATTATTAAACTGCTGGTCAATGGGTAGGGCTTCTTATTTACTAGTTCTGTATTAAGTATTAACCCATTTCTATTAATCTATGAATATCCATGTGGTCTTGAGTTACCAGAGAATGTCTGTACCTGTTACATCTTTGGCAACTACATAGCATCTCTCCAGTGCCTCCCTGCCTCTCTCCCCAGCATCCTCCTCATCTCCTAAGTCTGCCTATCTTATTGCTGCTACTGGCCAAACAGTGTTTTATTCATTAACCAATAACAGAAACATATATACAGAAGGACATCCCTCATCAGCACCTTCTTCCAAATAGGGTGAGGTACAACAATGATGGGCTTAGAACTTGAATATCTATGGTGGGGGATAGACATAATTTAGCCTATAATAGCCAGTTCATAGTAACTCGTGGATATGCATAGACCATAAAAAGAGTAATTACACATAACCTCTGCAAGTATGAGGAAGTCACTGAAAGCTTTATACTGAATTCAGGAGATCTAATGCAGTCATGATTCAAATAGTCTACTAAGAGTCAGCCTGTAAGAGTTGATTGGAGCTGAGGCGAGAATTGATTCCAGTGTGTAACTCAGTTTATTGTATAGTTTAAGCTGTAATATCTCCTGAAATTTTGTGTGTGTGTGTGTGTGTGTGTGTGTGTGTGTGTGTGTGTGTGTGTATGTAAACTAAGGGTTGCAGGGAAAATACTTTCCCTCTAATTTCTTTTAAACAACTTACAGAACTTTCTGCTTCATCAAGGTTTATATGCAGAAGGGGAAGAGGCGAACATGTTTATTAAGGGATAATTCCCAAGCCACTGTTCTAAAATCTGTACTAATGATTAGTAATTGTATTCCCAATAAGACTATTTGGCTATGTTAATTACTTTGAAGAACTCAATTACAAAAATAATTCAACATAAATTGTGCCCTGCAGCCAAAAATTCATATACTGAATTCCTAATCTTGAATGTTTTTCAGAATACAACTGTTTTTGAAGATAAGGTTTGTAAAGACACAATTACATTAAACACAGATCTATGTGGCAGAGTCTAATCCAACATTACTTGCATCCCTGTGAGTGGTAGGTGTATTTGAATGCTTTCCTCTGTCTCACAGGTCCTCATCAAGGGTTTCCCTTCTGCTCATTGGTCTTGGCAGCCGCTTATGAAATAATCACTCAGCCTAACATTAAATGTAATTGTTTGGCCAATGGCTTAGACTTATTATTGGCTAGCTCTCTCTTATAAATTAACCCATATTTTGGGAATCAGTCTACCACGGGGCCCGGCAATCCCACTCTTAGGCATATACCCAAACGATCCACATCCATGCAACAAAGACATCTGTTCAACTATGTTCATATCAGCATTTGTAATAGCAAGAACCTGGAAGCAACTTAGATGCCCCTCAACTGAAGAATGGATAAAGAAGATGTGGCACATTTACATGATGGATACTACTCTGGAAAAAAACAATGGAATTTTGAAATTCACAGGCAAATAAATGGAACTTGAAAATACCATCCTGATGAAGAAACTCATTCACAAAAAGAGAAACATGGTATGTACTCACTCATATATGGATTTTAGACATAGAGCAAAGGATCACCAGCCTATAATTCACACCACAAGAGAAACTAGGACACAAGGAGGAACCTAAGATATTCATACATGGTCCCTCATAGAAGGAGAAAAGAACAAGATCTGCTGAGCATATTGGGAGTGGGAGAGCAGTGAGTGAAGAGGGGGTTAGGAGAAAGAGAAGAGGAGGAAAGGAAACACGTGGGACTAGGAAGATTGAGTCAGGGGAGAAATAAAAGAGAGAAGAGAAAGAGAGGCAATAAAAGAGGGAGCCATTGTAGGTTTGAAGAGAAAACTGACTATAGAAATGTCCAGAGACCTACAAGACTGACCCCAACTAACAATTTCAGCAACAGTGGAAAGGCTACCATAAATGCCCTTCCCTGATAATGAGATTGATGACTAACTTAGCCACCATCATAGAGCCCTCATCTAGTAGCTGATGGAAACAAGCAAACACCCACAACTAAACACTGAGCTGAACTGGAATCCAGATGCAGAGAGGGAGGACAAGACCAGGTTACAGAAACCCCCAGAGACAGCTGACCTGAACAAGGAGGAAAAAATGGGCCCCCAGACTGAGAGCTGGGAATCCAGCATTGGACCAACTCAGACCCCCTGAACATGGGTCTCAGTTAGAAGGCCTGGGTAGTCTAAGGGACCTCTGACAATGGAACCAAGATGTATCCCTGGTGCACAAAATGACTTTAGGAGCACATTCCCATGGAGGGATACTCCCTTAACCTAGAGGCAGGAGAGAGGGCCTAGGCCCTACTCCAAATGACCTGACAGATTTTGTTGACCCTTCTTGGAAGGCATCACCCTCCCTGTGGAGTGGGGCAAGGGATGTGACAGGAGGGTAGTCGGGGTGGGGGCATGAAAAGGTGGGAGAGAGGGAGGGAGGGAGAGGGAACTAGGATCCATATGTAAAATAAGAATAATTAATTAACCAATTTTTAAAAAATAATCTGTGTATCACCCCGTGGCTGTGGCTTACTGGTAATGTTGTGGCATCTTACCCCTTCTGGAGCTACATGACATCTCTCTGTCTTAGCTTTCTTTCTTGCTTTCTTTCTATTTCTATTTAGATTTCCCACCTAGCTATATTCTGCTTTGTCATTGGCCAAATCAGCTTTATTTATCAACCAATAAAAATAACACATATTCACAGAATACAGAAGGACATCCCAAATTCCCACATGGGAATTTGAATTAATTGAAAAATACCAGGGGTTCATGTGCCCCAATGGACAGCCAAATGAAAATACAGTTAGAGAACCATGCTCCAAAGAGACAGTAGCCTCATGAGAAAGTAAACCCTCTAATAGATACCTTCCTCAAGTCTTAGCACTGAAGTGTGAGAAAATGGTTTATCAAGACCAATTTAGTCCACATTGAAGAAGTGGGACTCTGCCCTTGGTGAAGAGGTAAGCAGAGGAGAGATCAGCTATTTTAGGAAAACTCCTCAAGGAGGAATTACCAAAGACAAGACAAAGGAACTAAAGATGCATAAGAGGCCATTACAAATGAAAAGAAGTAAGGTTTGAATTAAGAAGAGGGAGAAAATAAAAATGAGAATCAACAGAAGCAGTTGGGGTAATGTTGTGAGGAAATGGGGAGGGAGTTTCAGAGAAACTGCAGTATGTGGAGAGAGAGCAGAAGGGGGAAAGTCAAGGTCACCCATGGGTCTGCTGGACTGGGAGGCCTGAGGGGATGTTTACAACACAAGGCAAGCATAGTGGTACTGTAGATATGAAGACATGCTTAGACTCTTGCAAGAGTGAGTGCTCAGACAGCAAGCAATTGAAATAATGGGAGATGGGACCCTCAGATGGTAGAGTTCAATAAAAGTTTTAAAATCACCTGCTGAAGGTGGCCAGAGAGAGCAAGAAATGTGGGGAGAGAGAAGAGCCAGAAAGAGGGTGCAGTTGAAAGAAACCTGAGGGGTAGTTTCCCCTACCGTTTTCCTGAGAGGGGGGCGGGTCACTGTAAAGATTGGGGGTGATGGTCAATCTGCTCTACAGTTGTTCACAAATATTAACATTCCAGCCATGAAAATGTGGCTAAGAGAATGAAATGCTAAAATAATTTGGAATTTGTTTCCTTCAAACATACCAACACTACTGGTGACTCATATATGTAACTAGCTACTGTAACTAGCATATATGTAGTCTTTCTTACATACTAAAGTTTTTTTAAAAAATGTAATACATACTATTCATATTTCCACATTTGTTTATAATTTATAGAATAATTATGTGAATTACATATGATTATAAATATAATTCTTCATTGTAGTGTGAAATTGAACTGGGGGTGGGGGGCTGGAGAGACGATTCAGCTGTTAAGAGTGCTTGCTGCCCTTCCAGAGTCTCAAAGTTTGTTCCCACTACATATGTCAAACAGCTCACAACCACCTCTGACTCCTGCTCAAGAAAATCTAACTCCCTCCTGTGGCTTCCACAGGCAGATGCAGACACACAGTCTCTCTCTCCCTCTCTCTCTCCGTCTCTCTCTCTGTCTCTCTCTCCCTCCCTCCTTCCCTTCCTTCCTTCCTCTCCCTCTATCTCTATATCTCTGTCTCTCTTTCTCTCTCTGACCACCCTCTCCATCCCTCTCTCCCTCCCAATTGGCTAGAGTGTGTGATCAACAGTCAGCCTCTGATGGTTAACTGGATTTACTGCCCTCCTCCTCCCATTTGTCCTCTCCTAACTATATCCAAGTACCGTTTACCTTAAGAATGTGTCAAACCACAGGGTTTTACAGTCGCACCTGTGTACCTCAAGACTAACAGCTGTGGCATAGCATGAGCACAAGAATATAGCTCATCATAGGTACTATTTCTCTTTTTGTCTAACCATTTTTTGTCTAACCACTTAAGTAGAAATATCTCTACATATGTTTTAAATAACATCTATAAAATGAGTAATCACATATTTTCAAATCTATTGCTATACATGAATATGAGGCAGGTTGTAAACAAATGTCAGGAAAATCTAATCATCATACATTTAGAATCTGCTGTTGTAAAACCAAGAAGATGAAACTCTCAGATTTCACTACTTTTCACTCTAAAGAACAGCTTGTGCATGTGTAATTGTACCCCTAACTTCCTCCACTTTTCAATGTAATACTAGAATTTTGGTTCTTCTTTGTACAAGGAAAAAAAGCATAGCCCATATGTCAAAAGAAGCAAATGTATGTTAATGCTGGCACACACATTTCAAGTTTTGAATGAAAGGGTGAGGGGAAAAAGATTAATGTAGGCAGAAGAAAATACAGGCTTTTCATGAGGCAAGACTTGATGTCAATTTCTGAAGCATATTTTTCTCCATGATTAGTAGTCTTGGAAAGAAGTGACAAGAATTGACTGTGCCTGATTCTTTATGCTGGAGTACCTTTTCAGATGCTTTACAAATTCTTGTCAAGTGGTGTTCAGAACAACTACGAGAGCCATGCTTCCATTTATTCAACCTGAAATTAAACATCTGCATTTGAGAATCAAGAATTTTATCAACAGACTGTCTGAAACCACCTCACATCATTTTGGCTAACAAGTATAATGCTCACTAGAGAATACAGACCTATATCAAAAAAATCACCATGTTGAACTGGCCTAAAATTTTTAAACCACATTTTGCTGCACTCTTGTTGAAGTGAGGGAGCATTTCAAATTAGTTTTATTAATCCCTGGGGTTTCTTCTCAGCACAATGTGACTTCAGGGCTCTTCAAAAATCAAACCTTCACACACCTTAATCACATCAAGAATTAATTTAAATCCACCACAAGTATTTAAGGACTCTAAACATGAAACTATGTATGCTTTTTAAAAAGTGTATTGTGGCATAGTGTACATTGGTAAATTGTCTGGGGTAACCCACAGCTAGATGTTTTTCTAAAATCCAAACTGTGGTTAAAATGTTTATTTATGGGCATAAGGTCTATGTGACATAGAAGACAAAAATAAATCAAAATGCCCTGGGTAGAGGAGATGGAGTAGACAATAGCTATCACATATGTTCAACTAAACAACAGAACATTTTAATCTTATATAACACTTTGATCCAATAAGAAAGACTAGAAACCTAAAGGTGTTATCTAGTGCCAACATAGCCCCCCCCATACACACACAAATGCATTAGCTTTAGAAGGCATTTTGCAAAAACAGATGCAAATAATTTCATGCTTGATTTCAATGCAAACACAAAGTTGTCTCAAGAATAACAATGACATTGAAAGGAGCCCTTAAATCTACAGAGGCTCAGATAGGCCTGTGAGGAACCATAGAGGTCACCTCATTGTTTAGTCATTCTATGTAAGGATGAACCATTCCCAATGGAAGGTACACAGTGGCAACCAAGAGTATTACTAGCAGCAAAGCTCTTATCTGCTGGGTTAAGTAGGGTGCAATACTCCTACTATCCACCGTGCTGTCTCTTCCTTCTGAAATTAAACAGCATCAGAATGTTCATGGCATTGTCTTTACATTTCATTTTTCTTAGTTGTGTGATTTTATAAATACTATCCCTTCCCCTTTGTTCTACATTTTGTATTTGGAAAGGAACTACTTTAAGATTAAAAATGGACAGTTGCTTAAAAGAATGTGCAAAACAATTAGCACCTGCAATTCTGTGAGGATATACATTGCTTCTCTGCCAAGAGATTTCTACGTACCATAGTTTCTCTGATTGAAAGCATAAACCTAACCCAGATCCCCTTCCAGAGAAGCACATGCTTGTAACTGCTGAGCCGTCTCCAGTTCTCATATGCTTATATTAAAATTAGAGAGCAGAAACATCCACAAAAACATCAACATTTAAGTTATGTCTATGAGACCCAAGGAATACCTTAGTCAGAGGGTTAGTAAAATGCCAGTGATTTTATGGTAGATTTCTACAATCTATCATAATTTATAATCTATCATGTGAACAAATCCTTTAGGAAGATTTAATATTGTTCAAATATAAACTACATTTTTACCCATAATTCTCATTCTTTCAAAAAGTAATACTTTATCGATTCTTTGAGAAGTGCACATAATATATTTTGATAATATTAACCCCCACCTCTTAATGTCTTCCAGATCCACTTCCTACATTCTCACTTTTCCCAACTTCGTGTTATCTTTCATCCCCCAATAATACACTGAGTCTAATTTGTATTGCTCAACTCATGAATACAGGGCCATCCACTGAAGCTTGATCAACCTACCCATAGCCACATCCCTAAAGAACACTGACTCTCCCTCTCAGAAGCCATCAACAGTTAATAGTTCATCAGCAAGGGGTTGGGGTTCACGAACCACCCCCTGTACTATGCTAGAATGCTGACTGGATAGACCTTATGCAGATTTTGTTCAGGCAGCCACAGCTACTGTTGAGTTGACGGATGCATCTGTACAGTATGTCCATAAGACACTATTTCACTATCATCTCCCTCTGACCTCTGGCTCTTACAATCTTTCCATTCCTCTTCCATAATGGTCCTTGAGTTCTGGTGGGAGCCAGGATGATGATATGGATATCCCATTGGTAGCTGAACACTCCATTCACTGACATTTAGTCTCTGTACTTTTATCAAAGAATATGTGCTTAAGATGTTCCTAGCTTAGAAAATTATTTATAAAATGTAAGCATTACCAGTCCTCAAAATGCTTGCTTGGTGTCAGGTATGAAGCCCCTGGGTGCCAGTAAACACAGACAGGGATTGTCATGATACTGATGTTCAAGAACTGCCCTTTGATGGTTTGCTGTTGACCACCACGTTCTAAAGAAAATGGAAGTGGCTGATTACTTTCTCTTCCCAGTTATTACTACTGTGTAGGGCTCCTAGCACATTTTTTTTTCTGACTGACCAGATTCTGGAGATTGCTTTGCTTTTCTAGAAGTAATAGAAAAATAATTCATACATATGCAAGGTTATCATCTACTAGACATGAGGCAAATAGAGAATCCATAATTGCAAGAAAAAAAATATTCCTTAATAGAGTATCACTTAAAGTATAAATGTATTATAAGGGACAATGAAATTCTTCCTCAATGTTGCTTTAATATTTAAATTCCATGTACTCCAAAAATTTTCATAAGGACCAAAACTGTGTGTTTGAGGCATTTGTTTTTTATCCAAAGTCTAGATCATGGCAGATAGTCAAGTAAGAGTTAAATGGGTAGATAAGTGGATGACTGGCTATCTGACTATCAATCTGGAAGGATGGTTGCTTCTAAAGACAGAAGGTTAAACTCCATGTTTACTAGAAGATGTAGAAGTGTATGATTCTATACTCTTCATTAGTATTTGAGAAAATAGCCAAGAAGAACAAATCTAATTAACTGCTTATGTCAATGTAGCTTGTTCTTTAGAGAAAAATAAAGTGATGCACTGGTTAAGAACATGGACTGCTCTTGTAGAGAACCCACATTCAGTTCCTACAGTTATCTGTAACTCCAGTTTCAGGGGATCTGATGCCCTCATCATGCCTCTGTGGGCATGAGACATGTATATGGTACATAGATTCAGGCAAATCGCATGTACATATTTTATTAAAGATAAAAATGAATAAAGATATCAACATTACACAGAGCCTTTATTTACCTTTCTTGTTCATCCTGAGAGCACCCAGCTGGTAGAAATGATATTTTGCAATCCTCTGGCCTAAATAATAAAATTCATAATTAATAGTCGTTGATGTTGGGATACAGAATCTCTGGCTCAAAAAAAGACAATTACTGAAGTTTGGCCAATGCTTCGACTACAGACAGCAAAGTCTCTCTGCTGACTAGGGACATCCATTGGTATTTCTCTGTCAGGGACAAAGGCTTTCACCAAAGCCAGACATGGTGTATTCAGTACATCAGTGAGTGGCTGAAACAGCAGACATCAGAAAAGTGTTTATTTACTTGTGGAACATTGTCAGGAACCATATAATACAGCCACTAACCTTGCTTTCTCTTCACCTATCTTTACTACAACAACTGTAAATGCCACTGTTAACTTTTACAGGTGATGAACAAAGAAGCTCAAAGTAGTAAATCTTTATCTATTTCACATCAAATGAGATTAATCATGTGATGCAGAAGTAGATGTACCAAGAAAACACAGTTAATATCAGCTTTGCATTGCATTTATCTGAACTTGAATGTTCTCACATGGAATAATTTATGGCCTACAGGTGCACCCTGGTCATTTTCCTCTTGTGAGAATATGATCTCAATCTTGAAGTCTTGGTGCAATCAAACAATAGAGCAGATTGCAAACGGTATGCATGGACTTTTTCTATTGTGTTTTAAAATTGTGATTTTGAACATCATTTTGATAATGTTCCATTAAAATTATAGTGAAACTTCATTTATTGCTTTTTTCAAAGGAAGTAGTTGAAATGAAAGGCAATTTAGCTACAAGATGGCTTGTCTTTGAGCTTTAGTCAAACATTCCTATGCTTAGAGATGGCAAACTTACTATTCCCAGATAAGACTGACAGAAATACAATGGTTACTTATATGAATAAATACTTCCTTATTCCACCTGGACCCCTCTAAGAATTCTTACCCATTATAATGTGCATAGTTGCAGTCACAACGTGAAGAATTCCACAAAGAGAATGTGCCAATACATTTGTTGTATTGCCAAAACAAGGTGAAAATTACATATTGTCAGTAGAGTGTGGTTTCAAATGAATGCATGCTCACATTACACATAGCCCACCATCACGTAATGTTCAGATAAAAATTAGTAGAAGTTTATGACAGAAGAGTTGATAAAAAACACTAGCAATACAACTTTCCATCCACAGCACATATACATGTCAAATGTTTGCAGAACTGTCAACCTTCATTAAAAGTCAGAAAACTCCTCCCCTCACCCCTGGACACTTGCAGCAGGTGGACTACCTGATTCAACTCCTCACCCATTGCAGCACTTGGGAGAATAGGTCTCTGACTCGCATAAACACCACAGTAGAGTTGACCCTGTAGACATGGTTGTGGGTGAGCCAGCCCCAAGGGCCTGGTATGGACATAGCCAGTAACTCAAAGCAGTATGGCAGTAGGGATGAGGGAAAGATGCCCTCACATCTTGCCTATACTGTCTCCAGCTGGAAGACGAGCTGACCCCTTTACCAGATGCAACACAGGGGAAAGTGGGCCCTGAACCTTGTCTGGGCAGCACAGTGGAGCTGACCCTGTTGATGAGGGCACAGGTGAGCCAACCTCAAGGACTGAGCGAAGGAGACCTAACCCTACCCTTCATCTGTCATATGGTGGCATGGGTTGGGGAGAGATGCCTCCTCCTGGACCATCAATGCCTGAGGCAGGTAGGGGAGCTGGGCCTGAAGTTGTAGGAGCAGGAGGGCTTCCCCTACTCCCCACCAGCTGCAACACTTAGGAGAGCAGGCCCTGCATCTCGCCTGGTCAGCATAATAGAATCAACCCTGTTGGAGGAGATGGAGGTAAACCAACCCCAAAGTGATGAACATGCGAGAGCTGTCCCCATTACTCATCTGTCTTGTGGCAGCATAGGTGGATTAAAGATGCTCCCACCCCCCAATCCTTTCTATCAATGCCTGAGGCAGGTAAGAGCTGGCCCTGAGGTCATAAGAGCAACAGAGCTGTTCCTGCACCACTTGGAAAGCGCCCCCCCCCCACACCTTACCTGGGCAACACAGCAGAGCTGGCCCTAAAGATATAAGTGTGTGAGAACTGACCCTGAGGAAATGCAAGCAGGAGAAATGGCCCTGTCACTTGCTCATCACTGCAAGGGGTAAACCAGCAGAGCAATGTAGAAGAGTTCACCCTAGTGAAAATGGGAGAACTGGCAAGCTAACCAACCCTGTAACTACCTAGGCCTAGAACCAGGGTTATATGTTAGCCCATCCCAACATCCATCCCTGCCTGTTATCTTCTGGAACATGGGGTGGGGGTATTGGTCCTGTGTGACTCACTGTGTCACATTGCAACTTCCATGACAAAATGGAAGTTCTACACCATCCCCTGCTTTCTCCTCTTAAATTTTATTAATTTAAGAGGGAAGAGAAATAGGTAAGATTTGGAGACATGATGTAGAGATAAGATGTGAAAGACGCAAAGAATAAATGAAAAGAAAGTTAAAGCTAGAAAATACCACACATATTACAAAATTGTATTGGATGTATCAGCGCAGTTGTACAATGTTTCCTAACATATGTACCCTCTGGTACCCTCTCTGGTACCAGAAATCTGAGAAAAGTTTATTGACTAATAGCTATTTTGATCATGATACTTATATTATTCCCTCAAAACCACAACTATTTAGAAGATTACTCCATTAAACTTTAGTGAATAAGACTTTAGCTTCTATACAACAATTGGCACTAATAGTAGAAGAATATCTGTACTGGGTAAAGACAAATGCATAGATATATAATAAGAAAAATTCAGTCAATAATGAAAAATATATTATCACTTTAAACTCTGAAAGGCATGTTCAAAATACATTCTGTAAATTTTAGAGGTAAACTCTCACTTCAAATGGATTTCCTTCCTATATCTGAGAGAAAAACTGTCCTATGTGAAGAAAATATTTAACTTGGTTATTGCCACCTAAAATTGTGTATACAAATATATATTCCCACTTACACAATCATTGGGATAATTCAAAATACTCTAGGATTCCTCCATCTTCTCACTGAAAGGTAAATATCCCTAGTGAAGGCCTTGTGATGTTTATATGTGACCAAAATCATACAGGCCTGATTTCAAAGGGAAGAGAATGACTTGGGCAGCAGGTAGGAGTCAGCTTTTGGTAGGAGCTGTGAAAGAATGTGTTTGTTGTATACCAGTCACCAAGGCAAAGGCTCGTTCCCTGTGTTTGGTTAGACAGGAGCATTTCTGTGACTATGAGCAAATTCTTCAGTTGTATTGCCTGCAACTTTCCTTTGGTGTTCAGCTGCAGAAGCTCAAACACTCAGACACTACTACTGTCAACTAAGATGCCATTGAAATAAGTAAGCATTAAACAATAAGCACACTTTAATTACTAATGATAAATTAATTAATAATGATAATTACTAATGATAATTAAACCAAAACTCTAGCTATAACAATGCAACACCACCAAAGCTCACCACCAATTAGCTTTACTAACTGCTGAAGTCATTCTGACTGAATCACCAGAAACACGCTATGTTCTGACTCTAATTACTTTAAATATGGCAACCTGATTGTTTACTAAACAGTACTTATTGGGAAGGAACAGCACACAGATATCAACCTCACCCATTCTCTTCAACCATCCTAAGACTTTTGGTTAGAGCAGTTAGTCAAGAGACTAGATAAAGAAATTGGAAAAGTGTTAAATTGTCACTGGTGAAATTTCAGGATCATTTTGAAAACCCCAAAGATTTCAATAAAATTGCAGGATACAGAATTAATATATACATGTAGTGTTCTTATTTACTTACAGCAAGCTGTCATAAACAAATCATGACAACAAAGCCATTTACAAATAATACCAAAGATACTTAGAAAATTTCCCTGAAAAAAATAATGGTTTTATAAGCTTAAAACTATAAACATCAATGGGAGACTGAAAATGTCAAAAATAAATGCATAGCTATCTTGCGTTCACAAACCAGGAGAATTATCCCTGCTAACATATCCACACTATCCTAAAAAGACCCTACCAATGGATCCAAAGCAATCTCTATGAAAATTTACATAGTTTCTAATAGAAACAAAAAATACTCTTTAAAAGAAAGGAAGAAAGAGAGAAAGGAAGAAAGAAAGAAAGAAAGAAAGAAAGAAAGAAAGAAAGAAAGAAAGAAAAAAGAAAGGAAGGAAGGAAGGAAGGAAGGACAAGACTCCAAGTCAGAGAAGAATGACCTGATGGAGGCAGAAAGTACCCTAACTTCAAAATCCACTAAAAAACATTGAAACAACATGCTGCTAATATTAAAAACTGGTATATACATCAACAGAATAGAATACCAAGACCTCAAATGGAAAACTCCAGCACTTAATGGTGAACTGATATTCCACAAATATACAAAAACAAAACAACAAAATGAAGTTATAGTCACTAAAACTGGAGACTGGATGTCCACACGCAAGAGAATTAAATTAGACTTTCACATAACTTGTACACAAACCCAACTGACGATGGATTAGACACTGTCAGACCTCCAGTGGCAGAGGGGAAGAGCTCCATGATGTGTTCAAATCCCAAAAGCATAGGTGCCAAAGCAAACATGTACACATAGGATTATGCCTCACTAAAAAACGTCTGCACGTTTCAAGAAGATCTCAAAGGAACTGGAGATGACCAACAGAATATGAAAACACATGGGGAAGCCATTGGTGGATGTTTGTTTTATGTCATCGTAGATTTACTTATCCACATAAAATATACCACAAAGATTCCTGCCTGTTGTACAAACTATTTGCTGTTGAGGGGGTGGTCTATGTTTTCAAAAATTTCTCCAAAGCTCTGAGTTTTCTCGGGAATTCTTTTGCTTCTTCTGAAGTGTCCTAATCTCACTATATGTTTACTAAGTGACAAAAACTCTTCAGCTTCATTATGAATGTATAGAACCATTACTATATATAAAGCCTGTCTTTAACCAAAATGTGATTATACAGTACACTGACTACATGCAATGAACTCAAAGGTCTCTTTTAACTTGACAGATCATTTGATTTAAAAGAAAATGAGTAAATATTATGACTAGTAATTTCACTAAAAAAAGACATACAAACAGCCATTGAGCACATCAATAAATACTGACCATCACTAGTCATAGAAATCAAAATTTAAACCCCAATAATGTGTCTTTTGGTAACATATACTAAAGTTGGAATGATATAGAGTTGAATAGCTTGACCCTTGAACAATGATGCCATGCGAATTACTGATATATCCCATAATCTCCCCCCCCCTTTGGTTTAGTTTTTTTTTTAACTTTTTAATTTAAATTTGAAACAAGCTTGTTTTACATGTCAATCCCAGTTTCCACACCCTCCTGTCCTTCCCTGGGTCCCAACAAACCCCCATCCCATCCCCTTTTTGCTCCTTAGGGAGCAGATTCCATGGGGAGTCTTCAAAGTCTGCCCCTGACCTTGCCTAACCTTGTCCTAGTCACTAGTAAGCCAGAGATCTTCCATGTGGCAAGGAACCAATCAAAAATTAACTGGTGGGCTCTGGAAGTGCTTTATAGTAACAGTGAAATGCAGCATAGCCTCCAGGAATAGCAACATTCCTGCAGCTGCAGTTGACCAATCAACGCAGGACAGACCACCCAAGCCTAGAAGTGCACCAATACTGAGACTGGCTATGCAACTAGTAGACCCCTGGTCACTGCGTCTGCTCTACCCCAATATATTCCCTGCCCCATGGTCCCTCTGGTCTTTCTTGCTTCATCTGTTGTGTCAGACAGATGGAGGACCGAGTTAACACAGTTAACTTGTTGATTAAAGACTTTGTTTTTGCAACTGATTGGGTGTTTTGTTGATTTGGGGGTTCAGAATTTGGGCACAACATGCCCAATATATGAATGCATAAAGAAAGATGTGGTATGTATTTATAATAGAATGCAACCTTATAAAAGAAGATAACCTGGTGCTTTTTTGACAGTGTGAACAAGTTTGTGGGTATTACGTCAAGTAAAATAAGACAAGATATGGAGAAACAAACACTGCAAAAATTGCATTTATATGTGGTGTCTAGAAAAAAAAGAAAAAAAATTTAAAAAACTGAACTCATAGAATAAGGGAGTAGGTAACAGTGGTGGAGAAATGGGAAGTATCAAGGCAAATCCATGTTAAAGAGAATATAGAGAATTCAATTTGTAAAATATGGTAACTACAATTAATGTGTAACATACTTGAAAACTGCTAAGAGTAGAATTCATTTTCTCATACATAAGAAAATTATAAATATGTTGGAGAGTGAATATGGTAATTAGTTCAATTTAGTTATTTTATAATGTCTATATATTCCAAAACATGGTGTACATGTAACCATGGGCAGCTTTTAGTCAATTTAGAAATAAGTGAGGAAAAGCCACAAGTCAACTATGATAGAAATAAATTTACTTAAAAAAAAAACATTTCTCAGGGACAAATTTAGATATAATTAATCACTCTGCAGTTTTTAAGATGCCCAGGTGAATTTTAAAGAGGTGTAGTCTATGAATAAACAGTAGCAACATCACCTGGTTCCTAGGGTTCACCTCCAACTTGTGATATGAATTGAATATGTATGTGTCAGCACACACAGCAGACCCAGATTAAGTGTCTTAACAAATGCTCAGCGTGAGTTTTATACTCTTGGTCTGTAAACATGTAGTCTAGAAACCTTCATTCTGGGGACCTTTGACTAGAACTCTCCATGAACTTTTGGAGCTTACTCTCTGGGTGTTGTTCACATGATTCATGAACAATCTGGAATGTTCCAAAGAAAAACAAATCATTTCTTACTGCATCCGATTTACATTAAAGGCTTTGGAGAGGACACATACTTGGTGGTGGGGAGGGGTCTTTAGTATTATCAACTGCAGCATTCCCTCCATCATTTCCTCCATTCCTGGTGTTGAGGAAGACTGTACAAGCATTCTTCCAGAAAGGCTTTAAGATACATAGTGTAATTCTGCTACGCACAATAGTTAAGGACACACATTATGACTCAAGAAAGTGAAGATTCCCCCATGAACTTGAAGTGCGATGAATACTCAAGCAATATCTGGATGAAATGCTAGAAGTCACTTTGCTTCATGACCTGTCAAGTTGTGCCACTGTCCTCCAACACAATTTAGTTGTCACAGGAAGCATGGCCAAACGTCAGAAATTATTCTTCATCTACTCATTAATGCATTACCTTAATCTTTGATTGTGAGTTTCTTTAGCACTCTGATAAAAACAGAGAAGTTCATGAAAAAGTGCATTTGACAACATAAAGTTACTGAGAGTACTTTTTCCCCTCCAGGAAATTGTACACAATTCGAAAAGATGTCCACAATAAAGAACACTACACTGCTCACATAAATAGCAGAAGTTAAACATTTTAATTAACAGGAGGATTTATTTTTCTGAACACTACCAGTAACTTTGCCCACCAGCCCCTCCCCCACACCTTCTGAAATGTGCTAAAAACAAAGAGCTGGGTGAGGTGTTGGGGGGGGGTGGGGCAGCAGTTCAGGAAAGAGAAAGTGAAACCCTGCCTGATAAATACTAGGCAGCACCCACAGAACCAATAAATAAATGAATAAATAAATGAAAAAATAAATGAAAAAATTGTCCTTGGAAGTGCAAGCACTTCTGCAGAACAATTAACTTAATTAACCAGACAGCATGAATATTCATAAGGCTGTTAATGTCTCCTACATCCAAGCAGATAAATGTGATGTAATGACTTCCTAGTCAAGCATATCTAAAATTCTCATGAAAGCAGCACCTACACATCGGCTCTTTGCCTTAAATATCATAGAAATTAACAGTCCCTCGGCAATATTTTATTCTCCCCAAATTAATTGGAAAGCATGAAATTTACTTATGCAAACTCTACAGGAATATATGATTCAGAGCCATCAGTGTGTGGATTAAGTCTTGTTTTAAAACAACTGGATTGCTTTTTTATTTTTATATCCTCTCAGACTTTTCTCACTATCCCACTATTCCCTTCTAATCACTCTATCTGTGTAGTTCCTTAGCACCAGTTCCCATAGCAACAAACACAATTCCTAATGGCCAGCAGTTCAAATACAGGCTGATACATTTGCGTCTGAGGATAATTCAGCAGCTTAGTCTGTTGGCTCGGTGGAGTAATTTACTAAACACTCCCCCTCTGGGTGTCTCTCTCCAGGAGGCAAATGGCTTCAAAGGCAGACTCTGTCTCCTCTTGGGCAGCTTGAAAACTTCCTGCCTAGCTCTTGTTCCCATTCTTCATCAAAAGACCTGACTAGGCATAGCATCCCAGTATTAAACAACCCACACATGACTTTCCCTTCCTATTAGACAGAATTAGCAAGCTGCAACTCCTTTCCAACTACCAGAGTTTGGCAGCCTGCTGTACCTTCACAACAACAACAACAACAACAAAAGATGGCAACGCCATTCCTGGAAATAGCCACTGAATAACAGGATATTTTCAAATTATAAATATGCTTTGAAATTAAGAGGAAAAATCATCAATGCCTCAACATTATGCATTTGTAAAAATTGGTTACATATTATAGGCATAAGCATAATGACCAATTTTTATAACAAGCTCCCTTCGTGTCAAATGCACACTTCTTAGAAAATGCCCTTTCCATTTCTGAGCTATGGTGGTTAGTGAATGACCTCAGAGATCCAAGTGCTAATGAGAAGAATAGCAGCCTGGGCACATAAACTGCCAGGAAGCTTCTACCAGCTACAGGCAGAGCTACTGAAATGACACTGAAGGGTCAAAAATAAAATGGTACGAAACAATGGTCCAAATTGCATCTTTCTCCCCCCCACCTCTTTCAGTCAAGGCTGTTTTATTATCTTCTTTGAGGCCATTATTGGTTTTTGTAAGTGCCTTAAATTGTCAGGATATAGTCTAATCTCTCTCCCCATTTAAATTATTGGCTTTGAAAAGACTTTATATTTTACATTTGGATCTGTTCTGGTTTTTTGGTTTTTTTTTAATGATTTTCCTACAGATATATACTGAAAATGTATATATTTGCAAAATCAAAAATGTGCTTTACAATAATAAAACCCTAAAGCTAATCCCTCTCACACGTTAAACACATACATAGAACTGCCTCTGTAATAGCAATTCTAAATGTGTGGCATGGATATGGTTATTAAATAGAACATTAAAAATGTTTAAAGACACACTTTTTATTTTCATAAGAAAAATATATTTTCCTGTTTTTTCTTAACAAATTATATAAAGTTATTTTTATTGGTTAGTTTTATATCAACTTGACATAATTCAGAGCCATTCGGAGAGAGGGAATATCAATTGAGAAAGTGCCCAACCAGACTGGGCTGTAGGAATTTTTTTTGATTGATATGAGAGGGTCCAGGTCACTGTGTGTAGTGTCACCACTGGACAGGTGGTCTAGATGCTGTAACAAAGCAGCCTGAACAAGCCATGAAGAACAAGCTGGTGTGCAGCATTCTTCCATGGTCTCTGTTTCATTTTTTGCCTCCAGGTTCCTGCCTCAAGATCCTGCCCTGACTTCCCTTCATACTAGACTACAAGCTGTAAGCCGAAATAGACTTCCTCCCCAGGTTGCTTTTGATCATGGTGTTTTAGCACAATGACAGAAACTCTAACGTTTTAAAATGAAAAAAAAAAAATAACCAATTCCTCTATTATTGCTCAATAGAATGTGTGGATTAAATACAAAATAACGTATTCTTTTCTGAACCATACATAGTCTTGCTGTTTCCCTTGCTTGGACCCCTGCTTTCTGCACACATAATTCTGTGCCCTGCATCAAAATGAATGCTCTTGGACTAGGGCTTATTGGATGGTTTCCCTGATCTGAAACATCCCATAACCTTCTACTGCTTCTCAGCTCAATCTCAGACCCATTTCTGTGGCATGTATGCAGAGTGTCCATCAACTGGCCTACCTTTATGCTATCATCTCCCATCTAAGGCCCCCTTTCTATTCCTCAAATTCCTAGGATTTGCCTTTGCTTTTATTATGGTAGAGCCTATATTTTAGGTGTTCTGTATATATATTCACACAATTTAAATGTTACTGCATACTCCCTGTGCTTAGGCACTAGGGATATGTTTGGGGAAAGATGAGGAACCTGAAGACCTTGAAGGAGATGAGGCTCCAAAAGATTAAATGTCTTGCCCCAAGTTTAACATTTCCCTGTGGAAATGGTGGACGATGAGTGAGGCTTTTTCAGAACCAAAGTCTGTGCATTGGAGTCTTATTAGGATATAGGAAATGGAATTACAGAAGAGAATGTTGTATAGGTTTGTTTTCATCAACATGACACAAGCTAGTATTGCCTTGAAATAAGGGATCTTGATTGAGAAAATGCCTCCACATCAGATTGGCCTGTAGGCAAGTCTTTCGGATATGAGGTATTTTCTTTATTAATGAATGAATTGGAGTGTGCAGCCCACTGTGGTTGGTGCTAACACTGGAAAGATGGTACCCAGTTGTAAATGTAGCTGAGAAAGTCACGTGGAACAAGCTAAAAAAAAAACAGCACCCTTCCATGCCTCTGGTTCAGTTCTTGCCTTGGCTTCCCTAAGCCTTGGACTGTAAACTATAAGATAAACAAGCCCTTTTCTCCCCAGCTTGGTTTTGGTTATGGTGTTTTGTCATAGTGATAAAAAGCAAACTATGACAAGAAGCAGTTTAATGAATCTGAAGCTACTCCTTGCCTGCTGGTGTTAGCCCAAGGGGAAGCTGTGCCCTGACAGGAGTCAGGAGGAAGTCCATCTCTACCCCAGCAGTGTTCTGAGCTCTGAGCAGCAGAGCATGGACTGCTTCACTGGCAGATCCATCTCCACCAACACAGACAACACTGGAAACACAGAATAAAGCAGAATTAGTTCACATTCATGAAGTCTAGAGTTTAAAACATTTTCCTAACCTTACTCACATAGTGTATGTGACTGTGCAGTAGATGTGATCAGTCAAAATAACTTCAAGCCTTTAGTAAGGGACAATGGCTCAGAAGACACAGCACTACACAGGAGCAAATACTTCATAAAACCAGACCCTACATACTTCTCTAGAGACGAGACAAAAATCAGTTGAATTACAAGGTACTAAGCAGTGAACATTCAAATTCACATCTAACCAGAATTTGCTTGCTAACATCCAAAAGCTTGTCACTCCAAGTTTTTGAACTTTTATCTGTTTGGTTTCACAACTTTCCATGAGCTTTCCCAGTGCTTTATGAACTTTGTTAAAATCCTTATCCATGACTATGTGCATGTTGTGTGTGATCTAAAGGGGCCTTATAAACTCTTCACCCTCACACAAAAATATAATTTAGATGGAAAGACCTTTGACTCTTGCATACATAGGATGGCAACACGTAACTACAAATAACAGCATCATAGGTTTGCTAAGTCATTGCTGGAGTTAGAGATAGCCTTTCTATGAGTATTCTGCCAGATAAGTAAATAAATCAGTTGTGAAATTTTGTCATAATAAAGAAGTTAGGAAAATCTTTTGAAACAAATCTAAATGATAACTATAACAATAGAGTAACAGTAAATAAGTACTGCTAGTGAAGAGAAGTTAATGAATATGACAGCATACATATTGGGCACTGTTCTCAGCACCCTTTGGGAATTATTTAAGCAATAGCTGCAGACAACAGATATTGAGAGCTTCAATTTACAGATCAGGAAGCTAAAGCTGTTAAAGCTTTAGTAGTTTTCTGTGGCCACCTACTAGTAAGTATCTATACTACCATTCAATATGAAATCCAAAGAATGTGAAGGGAAACATTGAGGTATATGAATATACCAAAGGAACTTGAAAATGAATGAATTAGAAAGGAATATACCACTTTGTGTCAACAACTACTAGACTGTTAATCTTTACTGTCAACCTGACTGTACTTACGATTGCCATGGATGCATACTTCTGGTTAAGTCTAAGAGTATATTTCTAGAAAGGTTTAACTGCAGAGGGAAGACTTGTACTATAGACAGCACCATCCTATAGACTCCTCCCAGACTGAATACAATAGGACGAAGTGGGCTGAGCATCAGTATCCATTCCTTTCAGCTTGTAACTATGGAAACAATATGACCCACAGATCACACACAACTGCCATGTCTTCCCACCGTGAAGATCGTACCATCTTCAAACTGTGAGCCAAATCAAACCCTTCCCTCCTGAAGCTAAATTTTTAAAAAGTCCAGGTATTTTGTCACAGTAGAGAGGAAAAATAGCTAATCAAACTGATAAGATTACATAGAGGTATATGACATAAACCCAATGAATGTGTTTAATATAAAAACATCATGGAATGAGATATTAGAGGGAAAGAAGAAATTCATCCTTTCGCAGTAAGTTGCTACATGCTGAAGAGTTACTTGAATGACCCCTTTGCATCTGACCAGTCTTGCTGTTCTCAGAGTGAGTTAACTTTGCCATTGGCCTCAGTAGAATCATTCTTTCTAGAAAAGTAGAATCAGGGCGCACATTTATTTCCTTTTCTAAATGATTAATAACAAAGGTTTTTAAGGGACAGATTGTATATCTTCTATCACAACCCACATTATCTTTAAAATGTTGAATGTCAGATTGTTTTCTGACTCGGAGTTTGGCTTAAAAAAAAAAAAAACTATACATATTACAAATACCACAGTCAATCTGAGAAAATGTCAAAGTTAGCCAACCAACATCTACATTATAGTTTATATATCTAATGGTATTATGAACAAGAGGATAATGCTGTACAATCAAGAAAATACAAAACACACACAAAGGAATAAGCAAGGATTACTGTAGTACTAACAATATCATAAATACTACAGGTTGGTTTAACAGTGTTCCTCTTATAGTGGAGGCAACTGCCACAGCTTCATCGGCACAGCTGTCACCGCTCTCTTCTTCACCCTTACTTAACTTTTTTTCAGACCACAGAAGTAGGGGTGATATGTAGCCTAACATTCCCCAAGTTTTAGCCATGGATCCCACAGTGTTTGCTAGAACACACTGGAGTGGGACACCAGCTGTCATGGAGTGTTGATCTGCTGTTTCTCTTGGCTTTCGAAATATGTCACAATGTGTCTTCACGGAAGCATATGGAACTCGTTTTTAAAAACTCTAAAATCTTAGGAAATGGTATTTCTTAAACATCATCTACCAAACTGTTTCTCTGTGCTGACTAAGCTATACTGAAGCTTTTATTATTTTTTTTATTTTATTTATTTATTTTTTGGTTGTGGGTTTTTTTTTTTTTTTTTGGATTGCAGCTTCTAACCCTCCTGTCTAGAAGCCATAATAATTTACTAACCATTTCCAATCAACAGCTCCAGTGCTGTGAAACAGAGATCCCACCACTCATCAAAATGAAATGGCATATTGGATCACATCCCATACTTAAATCTTTTATATAAACTTTAAAAAAAAATTCCCACAATCATTCTTTCTTTTTTATTATTCTTCTCTCATATATTACATCCTGACCTCAGTTTCCTATTCCTCCTCTCCTCTTAGTCCTTCCTCTGTTTCCTCCTCTCCCCTAGAGCCACTCCTCTTCCTTTCCCTTCAGAAAAAGGCAGGCCTCCCAAGGATTTCAACCAAATGGAGCATAACAAGTTACAATAAAGAATATGCACATCCCCTCATATTAAGGCTAGATGAGGAACCCCAATAGGAGGAATAGGGTCCCAAAAGCCTGCAAAAGAGTCAGAGACAGCCCCTGCTCCCGATGTTAGTAGTCCCACAAGAACATCAAATTACACAACCATAACAAAAATGCAGAGGACCTAGTTCAGTCTCTGCAAACCCCCACAAGCCCTGTTTAGTTAATCCTATGGGCTGTTTTCTTATGGTGTCTTAGTCCCTCTGGTGCCTACAATCCTTCCTCTCTCCTGCAGGCTTCCCAGAGCTCTACCTAATGTATGTCTGTGAGTCTCAAGATGTGTTGGGAGAGAAAGTGGCACCGAACTTGTGGGAGTGGTCAATCAATGACTGGACCAACTTGAGACCCATACCATGAGAGGGAGGCCTTGCCTGACACTGCCTGGAAGGCTAGGAACAGAGTCTGGATAGACCAGAGACCTAGGATAGAACCAAACATGACCAGCAAAAACAAAAAGAAGCCAATGAAATGAGTCCTAATGATAATCTACTATCCTCGTAGACTGGAGCCTAGCATAATCATTATCAGAGAGGTTTCACCCTGCACTGATGGGAGCAGATTCAGAGACCCATGGTCATTCTTCATACAGGTTCAATGAGGGACATTTCCTGTCTGAACATTTTTTGTTAAAGACTTGATCTCTTGAAGCATTTACTGAAATCATGTTTCTACAATAGTTCATATATATTTAAGTAATGGGAATTAGAATTACCTTTTAATTAAGATGATTACTCCAACCACACCAGCTTCTATTAGGAAAGCTGAACCCATCAAAATAAATGACCTACTTAAAGTATTTGGAACATAAATGACTTCTAATAGAAATTTAAAATTATTATACACCCAAAGTAAATCAGTATGCCATGGGATTAAAATAAATTAATGGACATACTTAGTTCACATAACAGGACAATTGGTTTAAGAATGTGTAGTAACTAAAGGCTCTATGTATCTTTTAACACCACAGTGCAAAATAATTTCTACATGGGAAATAAATTAAAAATCAGTATGTTTGGGTAAAGGGAAAACTCTGCATTTGAACAATCCTTTTCCTACTGTAAAGGCCTTCTAAATCTCCATAATGGTATAGTTACCAAGAGAAGACAATGACAGATATCACATCCAGCAGAACATCTCATGCCACTAGTGAGTAAGTTCAGGTTTCATATCCACATCTGTCATCACAACTTTTATATAACCAAGATCCAAAGCAAAGGCTTAAAATGAGGCCATGGTCTTACACTTGTATCTTGGGACTTTGGACCACACTAAGTCGCACATTGGCATGAATTTCCCAGTCATATTTTTTTTAATGTATACTTTCCAAAAATTGCTTCAAATGTAGCCTATTTATCCTTCCGTCCACTTCCAGGTAAGAAATTACAAAGGAATTACCTACCTTGATAATCAATGCTTATAGAGTGTAGCCATCTAGATTTATTCCCCCTTTACAGCCCCTTTTGTTTAATCATGTTTTACCTTCTAAATCTTATGCCTCACTAGGCACTACTTATTTTAAACTACAATTCAGTGCTCCCTTTGATAGTAACACTACCCTTCATGTGTCATAATATTTCTTTGGAAGTGTTAAAACTTTCTCTTGATTTTGGGGAAAATGAAGATTAACTGCCTTTCCTGACCTCAGTGGTTCACTGGTCTTTTCTTGTTTCCTCCCCATCAGCATGTTGCAATCATATACATACCATCTTTTAAAGTTATCAGGTAGCAAGTCTTGCATAAACATCTTTCCCCTTCCCCAAAGTAATGTTTTCATCATATACATTAATCCCTTACATCTGCAAATCATTTCTGTATCTCATTTGCCTTGCTGCTAATGTTCAAATGCCAGTGAGCAATTTTAGCACAGCCCAGCAATGCATTGCAAAACAAGTTTCCAATGTCTATTATGAATGTCTAAGACATCTGCTTCTGTATGCTCAAGCTGACTACGCCTACCTACCGGGACCTCAACCACCTGGTGTCTGGCACATGAGTGGTATCACTTTGCTGCATTTCCCTGGCCAACTTGACACCAAACTGGTGCAAGCTGGCAGTGAACATTGTGCTCTTCCCATTGTGCCTACATTTCTTCATGCCAAGCTCCACACCCATCACAGCCTTGGGCAGTCAGTAGTACAGTGACCCTGACAGTGCTCACACAAGTCATGAAGCATATGTATAATGCTAAGAATATGACCATCTGAGAACCATGCCAGGGCCACTATCTGACCATGGTCATTTACTTCCAGGACCCCATATCCATGAAGGAGGTGGACAAGCAGATACTGACCATCCAAAACAAGAACAGCAATTACTTTATCAAGTGGATTTCCCACAACATCAAAAACATCAAAGTGACTGTATGTGACATCCTGCCTTGGATCTGAAGATATCCTCTACGTTCAGGCAACAATACCATGCATCCAAATGTGCTATTCAAGAACATCTTATAACAGTTCTTGACCATGTTCAACCTCAAGGCATTCATGCACTGGTTTGCAGGCAAGAGCATGGCCTGGGGTTCAAGCATCAGAAATACTAGGATGCCATGGTCAAAGATGGGAAGAGGCCTGTGAAGATGATGAAGAAGAAGAGATCAACGAATAGATGCTATGGTGCACACCTGTTCTTTACTTAGCCCTGGTATAGGAATGATGTCCTGTCTAAGCACACAGGTCCCTTTCAAACCAAACATATCATGTTGCTTCCCAGGGTATCTGGTGCAGTGTTTTCCTTTGGCTGAGAATTGATAGTCCCACAAGACCAAGAAGAGTCTGTACTAAAACTTGAAAATAAAGTAGAGGATCATACAGGGCTCAAGAAAGTAACCATGTTCCAGTTTTAAGTGTCCAGCCATGAGAGTTAGCATGGAAGTTAGAATAAGGACTTCGTTTTCATGCCTGGTGATAAAACTAAAATCATACAGTCTTGCCTTAAAAGGCAATATAGAACTTTGTGTCAATCCATTCATAATAAGATGCTAAACCTCTAAAACAATACTATATCTACTTAGTCAATAAGTTATGAGATAATTAAAGCCGACATCTTTCATTCATTCAGAAAATAGATTTGCTGTAACAAAATGTCCACCGCAATCAATCACAGCAAAATACTGTTGGATAACTATTAAGCTACCAGTAAATTTGCAAAAGACAACAGCATTGCTATGTTGCATGATGAATATAATAGCTTTTATCAATGTCCATCTTTATATTGACATGGTAAAAGCCAAACACTAGGTATTTTAAGTACAAATATATGCATGTTAAGTATAGGGTAGTACACTGTGGTTCTTGGATACTTATAATTTAATTTCTTTTTGTGATTCCCTATGGCAGATTCTTAGATTTGGGTAGCCATGATATATTAGAATTAACTATTAGTATATGGATATGAACAAACAGAGCCCGATTCATTATAAAACTTTAAAATTATTAGCAATCTATGCTTTTTAAGCTTGGTTCAGCAAACTATTATGTTCAAAACATAAGGTCAGGTCATAAAACAGCATTTATTCTTGAATATTTGACTCGTAGGAAAGAGGATCAAACATTCATTTTTTCATAGTTTTAAGTAAAAGAAGACTGTATATTTGGTGCAACTATGTAAGTCATTTAGGGATATCCAGCAAATAGTATTTAGTGAGTTTATCTTGGTGCATGTCTTTTTAGTTTTCCCTAAATAAGACACATTTCCTTTTGATCAGAAGGTTGAGAACGGGAGTATTTTGAAAATACAGCATATTTTCTGGCGTTGAACAGTCAATGTTAAATCACTTTGGCAACCTTACATGAATAAATTAGTTGAAAGGTTAGTGTAAGATTTACATACCAGAAGAACATGTATCTGGAGATGCTAGACTCAAAAAAAAAAAAAAAAAAAAAAAAAGGAGCTGGATGTGAAAATACAAAGTAATGCCAACCCAATGATGAGAAACCCAAACCCCGGAGGAGGCTGACATACAGGACCACAGCCCAGGTCCTCAGAGGAAACGAGTCTGTCACAGCACATCTCTGTTGCCACAGTCACTAATAGCCCATACAGCACTGAAAATGCCAGTAGAGACAGGATGAGTGGGCACACTGCAGATGGCACTGAGTATCACAAGCACATTTAGCATTTTCTGGGGCATCCCTGCCAGAAGAGGCAGCCCAGCTGTATCCACCCATCAAAGATTTCTGCTGACTGACATGACACTGCAGATGGATTTTTTTTTTTTGTGTGTGTAAGAATGTGCATCATTATATGCAAGATTACATTAATCTTTCATGCCTGTCCGTCCCTCGTGCCAGCATGGTTCAAACTTTTCCTATGATGTTTTTGGATATTGTTAAAAATTATTAGCCTTGGTGTCTGAGAGAATCATTCTGTATCTAGTGCTGTTACATTGTAATTCACCCCAACCTTATTCACCAGAACAAAATCCCTGTTAAATTCCCATCAGAGGAAGGATATAAGAAAATTCAAAATATCAATATTAATAAAGTTGCAAGGGTATATTATCACAAAAGATGTGTGCTGATAATTCAGGTATAGCCATGTACATATAGTCATGCACAATCTTAAAACACAATGTTAGAAGTGTTACTGTACACATATAGTCAAGATCTTTAAGGTTGTTATTAAGAATCACATAGGCTGTAAATAAGGCTGGGTTTTATAGCATAGCTTACTTTTGAAAAATAAATTCAAATACATTATGAAATTCACTTTAAAATTAAGTTTTGGCTAAATGATTTTTATTTAAGTGAGTGTTAAAATATTCTAATTTTCTCTATAACATTTCAAAAGACATTTGATTATATACTGATGTAATATATCTACGTACAGGAATCTTAAGGGATATTGAATAAGTTACAAAATTAATCACTTTTTTGTCTGAAACAAAAAAATGTAGGAAACAAATGAGAGAAAACTGACTAGGAAATGCACAGGTGTAAAATGTTTTAACAGGATGAATAAAATAAATGGACTTCGGAGACACTACATATTCTAGTGACAAAAGAACCTAAAAGAACCTATGCTATAAAATAGCAAAAGGTGATAATAAAGAAAAAGAAAGCAAGGAAAAGGATTAACTGTGAGTTAGATGACTATGCAAAATAGAAAGAATCAAAAATAACAAAAATAAGTAACCAGACAGGCTCTTATGGGCTCTAGAATCAAACAGAGCCACGATTAACCCACCAAATAGGATAATGGAAAGGGATTCTTAATCTTTTTTTTTTTTTTTTTTTTTACTGTGATACTACCTTTCCATCTACTTTCCTTTTCCTATGAAGTCAGCACTCCATGTCCTTTCTTTATTAGATTTAGAATCTATATTTCACCACTCTTTGTCTCAGGATTCCTTCACTTCAGCATAAATGTTACTACCCCAGGGTACTATGTCTAGGGCAAATTATTTCCTGAGATTAATACAGAATGTCCATGATGAATTTGAAAAAGCATACAGATGCAGTATGATTTAGACACAAAGAAACATGTCTTCGTCTGGTACTTAACACTTTATGATGGGATAAGATACTGAAATACCTTTTTCCTCCTCTCCTACAGCAAGCTCAAAGCAAAACCAGACCAGGATGCTCAGCTTCTACACCTTTCATAATTTGTGTCCCTACCCCATAAACAAATTTTTGTGACTGAACTTTTCCAGACGGCCTAGTTTTCTGCCTGGTGAAATAAGGAAAGAGAAAGCTACAAAAGTAGAGCCACATAGAGGAAAAGAGAAAGAACACAAAGCCAAGAGAATGACCACATAGAAAGAAAGAAGATTCCACAAGAGATCCACTTTCTGAAAAATGCTCCCCCACAAAAGGAGGCAGGATTATCTGGTGCATAAACATTCCCAGAGACCCTGACCTGGCAGTGACCATTGCCAAATTCAGAGAAGCCTCTTTAAACCCCTATGATAATGACCATGAGAATGTCTAGCACCTTTGTCAAAGGGAAGGGTGATTGAAGATCAAAGTGCCTATTGTGAATCCACAGAAGGAAGGACTCAGAGTATGGTGACTCCACACACCAGGTAGAATGCATTTAATTTTGTATTATTACAATGAACAACATTAACTACAATAGGTAACAATTGTAGGGAAGTAACTGCCAGCTCTTATGACCTCTGTACTGTGCAGTGTATAACTAGCACAAACCATTGAGCCAAGAGGACAAGTGTATTTGTGATACAGTGCTACTGATCAGCAAGCTGTGTGGCCTTGGGCTGGGATCAGCAGATAAATGAGAATGCATAGAGGAAGTACCTTTGCTTATGTTCACAAAGGCAGTGAGACTGCACTCAAGGGCATCAATGTTCTTCAGTAAGACAACACTCTGCCTCTAGCATATGATCCCAAGCTAAGGCTCCTTGATACCACAAGGAGAGCCAAACTCCTACCCTGTATTACAGCATGCTATCTATACTCTCAACTCCTCTCCATGTGCAGCAACACAGCTCTACCCAGGAGAATGGCACTGACTGGTACTGAAATTATTTTCTCAGATTTTTTTTTGACTTCTCTGACTTTCCACTTTATTGTTCTATGAGTTCATAGTTCACCCAATGATCTCTCAAAACTCTAGCATCTTTTTGTTGTTGTTCTTTAGTTTTCAAGACAGGGTTTCTTTGTGGAGCCCTGGCTTTCCTGGAACTCACTCTGTAGACCAGGGTAGCCTTGAACTCAGAGAGACCCACTTTCTTCCTCCTGAGTAGGAATTAAAGGCACTTTTAAAGGTACAAACTCTAATATCTTCTTGATTTTGAGAGCCAGAGAGGGGACAAATGTCTTATGTCAGCCTGGACGTATCATTCACTCTCTTCTTGGACCACTGGACCAATATATTACTATAGTAAATGCCTATTTCCTCTCAGCATTTCCAGAAGCCTTGTTGATATTGTTATTGGAGAAAATCCTACAACGTTGTGAGTAGCAGCATGTTGGGCTACTGTTTTAATTCAAACGTTTCAAAAAGCGCTGCTCTATATTCAGAAGTGGCTAGGATTTCAGCACAAATTGAAGTGAAAGAAGTATAAACTTGTTAGTACATAGATTTATGTTTAAAATAAATGTGTAAGGTAAAATATTCAAAATGTGCCAAATACTAAACAGCATGGCTTCCCCTAATAAACTATCATATAGAATTCAAGCAATTCCTATTCCGCTTGGTCTCTCCAGTGCAAAGGAGTCATGTTGAAACAATGAGCACACAGTAGATGTGTGCTTCTTTGAAATATTCTTCATATATTTTCTTTCCACTAAGAGACAAATTGAATCTTGTTACACAATTTTATGAAAATGACACTCATAAACTAAGGGCCATCTCTGTATGACACTCTAAGCCAAGTAGACGGAAAAGCTGAAACACTTCCCATAGCCATAAGTTTCTTCAGTCTTTGACACAAATAGGAACATTTTGATATAAAATATTGCTGATACACAGAAGAAAATCCTCCACTTCCTTTTTCTCTTCCTCCTCCTCTTCTCATTTTCCTCTTCCTCCCCTAATCTTGATTGAGCTGGTGGACTCATCTCTGCCAAACCATATTACAAAATTATGACTTTTTAAAAGTCACTAACTGTAAATCAAGATGTGATCTGCAAATTGCAGAGTGTAGCATAAGATTCAGCCATGTCTAGACTCAAGCTTGTATGGGAAATATCTCTGGGGGTGGAGGCTGGGGACCTTCCCAAAGCCACTAGCCCTTCTTTCTTAAAAAAGTTCATATTCATTTCAGCTGTCTTGCTTCAGCCTTCAAGAAGAGGGAATCTACCCTCAGTTACAGGAAAGGAAATAGCTGTCCTATATTGGACACAGATAATCAAACCAAAAGAAAGTTTGGTACATGCTAGGGTCTCCCTTTCTTGTATAAACATGCCTTTCTCCATCCCACTAGGTAAGAATAAGAAAGGCTACAATTTAATGGTCAAATGTTTTATGAAGATGTGATAAACTGGATCCAATATGAAATAAAAATTATGAAGGTATTTATTTATTTAGTTTTAAGTATCTGCTTGACTCCTCAAGCATAGAGGATCTTGCATAGAACAAAGATGCCACAGAGATTATTTGTTTGCTTATTAGGCTGACCTTGAAAGCTTGAGCACAAGTGGTGTATTTGCCTCGGTCTCCCAAATACTAGATACAGTGCCCAGGTTCCAGGGAGAGATTCAGAAACTGGCTAATACATAGTAATGCCCAAGCAAACTCCTGAGTAGCGTTTACATGTGGAAAATGCAACAGCCATCCATGAGCTTGATATTCATCTAATTTTACTTGGCTCATCCCAGCATGGACCTCGGATCTTTCCCATCTTAGGAACTATCCCATAGACAATAGGCACAAATCTAGATTGTATATTTCCCTTGTGACTCACCTGTAAGCCAAAAGTTATAGCCTATACAAGCTAACTTTTCCACTGGAACTTCATTTAAGTCAGAAATTCATTTGAGGTGTTTATTTGCCTTTTGTTGTTATCTTGTTATTCATTTATTTTTAGTAAGACAGGGCTTTGCTATGTAGCCAAGGCTAACCTCAGCCCTATAGTCTTCCTTCTCAGTCTCCCAGGTGCTACGATTACAGGCATAGGTCCCCATTGTTGGACTCTTTAACCTTCATGGTGGCAGATGTCTTTGGGATAACTAATCTTCCCACAAAACATCTTTGGGAAGGAACTTCAATCTACCTGAGTGCTTCAAGACACTCACTGAATTTCAAAGGCCTTATTCACACTCTGAGACCCATAGCTATCTATCACAGCTGAGCAAAGCCAGGTCCCTCCTCCAGAAACATGTCATTATGACTAGGAGACTCAACTGTACTGCGGACTTGTCTCCTGAGTAGCTTAATTACATAAGAAACTCCAACCACTACAGTGTGCATCAGATGCCCTCTGCTCTGGTAAAGCCATATAGAAAGAAAACCAGTGAAGTTCTGGCTTTAGGCTGTGTCTACCCTTCCTAGTAGATGCGCACAGTAAGTGTTAATAAATCAGGAGAATTTGGTTTCCAAACATTGAATGTCCAAAAAGATTTTACCAACATTTTTCTTAGTAATTTGGGGATTAGCAAATTTCTGATTTTCTTATCTAGATGCTAAGCAAATTCTTACTTTTGACAATGGAACCAAGCTCCCAGTTTCTCCTAAATTAACCAAAAGCAGCAGCTTTGTGTTTAGTTTTGACCTAACCAGCAGGGGTCAGGGTCAGAACAAAACAACCCAAGGGAAGGGCCACAGAATAATATCAGGCAGAAATGTGAGTACAGCAAGCATCTTCTTGAAGTATCAAAAACCATAGTTTGCTTTCAAATAACACCTAATGATTGTTACCGTGAAAGAGGTCTAAAATATTGATATTTAAATACAAAATAGCATGATTTAAAAAAAAAAAAGCTAAATGAACGATGCTTCTGGAGCTGGCGATGGGACACAGAAAGAATGCTTTACTGTTCTGAGCAGCTGTTCGTGCTCAGGAAGTAAGGCTGTGTGGGCTCTATGTAGAGCGGTAAAGTTACACAGAGAAAAGAACTCACTTGTCACATCAGTCTTTATCCCTGCAAGCTTCAGCACAGGTTGCACTTTCTCATAATAGATTTGGACAGACTCCTTTCTGTGACTCTGGGTGTTGAGGAGGATCTTTAGAGCCTTTGGCCTGCTTGGGAAACCTAAAATGAAAATGAGTAAGGTTTGATTGTCCATCAGAACATCATACATGTATCTAAATAGCATTTGCTATTTGTATCTTAGGTCCTTGCTTGAGTGTGGCTTTTTTTTTTTGTTGTTGTTGTTGTTGTTGTTTTGTTTTGTTTTTTGTTTTTAACCATCTGCTTTCCTAGAGGCGAAACACGATGCTTTCCCTCTTCAAATAAGTCATGCATTATAACAAGCATGTTATTCATGTTATTCAGAAAGGAGGGTATAAATAATAGCAACTCATGGACATGGAAGCAATACTGATGAGCACTGATCCACTCACAGATGAGGCATGTCTTTATGGAGACAGGCTGTGGACTGTGACAAACAAAAATGTGTATTTTCTTTTCCTTAGATATATACTTATCCTGGAACGGGGCACCTAATGACCTCAAGTCTTCTGACATCTGCTCTACCCAATGACTCTAGGGACAGACTGAGCAGGCAGGGGTGAGTCACTATTAACAACCAGTGCAGTGCATGCTGGTGGTTGAAAGGAGGCTTGAGGTCAGAGTTCAAATCCCAGAAGGTGGCGGGGGGGGGGGGGGGGGGGAGAAAGTGCTTTTCTCATGGGGACTGGGAAGGCATCCCCTCTCAGAGGCCAGCGGTGATGGTGACAGTGGCGGGCTGCCTCACAGTTGGGACTGAGATTTGATACTGCAATTTTCTGGGCAAGAGGCTCGGCACTGTGAAGCCACTTGGAGCAGGTGCAGAGCCAATTGTCTGCTGTTAGGAAGGGGCAGGAGCCAAAAGAAAGCTGACAACCATTTCTTTCGTGGTAAGCTGCTCTCAGAAGAGAGAGTTTCAACGTTACAAAAGCAGTTAGCATTCGTTTCTAATAAAACCATCGCTGAAGACAAATGAAAGAAAATACCCATTTATATCAAACTCTATACTTCATGATTCGCTTATGTTATTTGACTTAACAAACATCTTTGCCCAGCACATAGTTTGAAGATGTGAAGGGGAGAGCTTGAGATGAGGAATGGACCAAGCCATGCTGAAGCCGTGGAACCTTTGTGATCTCTGTTTTGATAAGAAGCCTCCTGCTTACACATGAGACCCATCCGTGCCGCACGCCTCACTCTTCCCAGGTCTTGTATTTGAGTGAGCACCGAGAATCCTAGAGAGTAGTAGCTAGCTGCCAGGCCTTTTGCATCTCTCACCAGCATGCCTCTGGTACAGGGTTCAGGCACCTGTGCTCTGGGTGCCTCCCCCTCCCCGCGCAGGTATGCATAGCTCAGGTATAGCAGCTCCCATCAATGCTCCATTGTTTCAAAGTCGCCCTGGCATCTTTCTGCTGTGGACACTGCTTGGACCCCTCAAAATGGCCTTTAGTGACTTCAAATCCCATCCTAAGCCAGTTCCTCTCCTCTCACAGGCAACGTTCAAGAATGAATCATTGAGCCTTTGTAATCCTGGAAAAATGGGTCAGAGAAGATGCAGCAGGACCAGTGGTCCTCAACCTCTCTAGGGCTGAGACCCTTTAATACAGTCCTTCATGTTAGACTGACCTCCAACCATAACGTTAGTCCACTGCTCCTTTATAACTGTAATTTTGCTACTGTTACAAATTCTAATGTAAACATTTGATATACTGGATGGCCTTAAGTGGTTCCCATGAATGGGATCAAGGAATCAAGCCCCCCCCCCACCCCCAGGTTGAGAACCACAGGCCTCAACTCTCAGCAGAGGCATTTGTGGTGGGAGTGGGGTGTGTGTGGGTGGAATGTAGGGGGTGGGGTGGGAGGAGTGTAAGGGGTGGGAGTTGGTGAGCTATGGGGTAGTGTTGCTTCTTAGGTGTCTGGGAAAGCCCTCTTGAAGAAAGGAGTATTTGAGTAAGGCATTTCCCCTCCACATAGACTTTCTTCCCCTATTACTCTGCGATTCATTAACTATCTGCCCATGAGGTTCTACATGACACCAGCCTAACTGAACACGCGGAGCTGTGTTAATACAACAAAGGCTGTTTCAATTCCCTTATGACAATTCAGTGCGTTCCATTGCATCAGATGTCAAACCTGGGCCTTCTTCACTCAGATGGTTTTGTTTCTGTTTCAAACATGCTTTAAAAAAGAAAATTCAAAATTCTACCATTTGTTTTTCAAGGCTGGCTCCAAACTCCACATACTCCCAGGAGCCTCTCTTTGTCATCCTCAGAATCTATCCCTTTGGCCTCTCTGTGTCAAATTTACCCCAGGGTTATCTGTTACCTAGTTCTTGTGCCATTTATACAAACGTCTCTGATGGAACATCTTGGGACTTCCACTAACCAACCACAGCCCAGTTTAAAATGGGAGACTTGTCAGTAATACATTACACGGTACTGGTTTTTTGTTTTTTGTTTTTTTTAATATTCAAGTTGACAAGCTACAAGCTACATGGACACTAAGCAAATGATGAAAAAGGAGATTTTGTTTTAGAATAATAATAGACATATGACGCATTCCAAAGTTAGAAAACTCTTATTTTTGGACATTAGGGAAAAAAAATGATTCAGGCAAGAAGTAACCAGTGCCAGAATCATCTGGTGACAATTAGGGAAGGCTATTTACATATTCTTAAACTCTATTCCTTTACAAAACCCTGAAGCAACTGCAGCTGAGTGCCCTGAAAGACCCTGGATCCAATGGGAATACTGTTGCCATCTCTTAACACAGGTACCAAGCAGGCAAGCTCCTGGTTTTCTCTCATTGAATCATGACAGAGCCAGGAGCTGGCTTTAAACTTCAGGCACATCAGTCAGAAGCAATGCCTTGCTCCATCTTTGTTAAGTGGGACATTGGCCTAAAGGTCCTCTTTGCTTGTGTAAACAGACAGTACCCACACAATTGGTCTTGCAAAATGTGACTCAGTTTGTCCATTTTCCTATGATCCTAATTTCTTCACAAACACCTCCATACCTATTGTGTATCAAGTAGAAGCAGGGGATCTGAGGCTCCATTTAATGAAGCCCCTGTCCTTACAAAGGCAACTTCCTAATTGCAGGACACAAACAAAGGGATCAGAGTAGGTTAAAAAGCATCTGATCTAAAAACAAAACTGGCAGCAGAGCAGGAGAGAAGGCAGAGGTGAGGGTGGCTGGATGGGGACAGTTAAGTCTCCCAGGGCATTACAGACATTTCCAGAATTTTTTTTTTTTTTTTTTTTTTTTTTTTTTTTTTTTTGCTTAGAAAGAGATGCATGGTGAATTTTGAGCAAAGCAGTGATATAACCTTTGATTTGGTTTTCCAAGGCTCACTCTGGTCTCTACATAGAAGTTGAACATAGTAGGACTACAGGAAAACAAAGTCAGTACAGCTGGTTAACATTCTGAGTGGAAGACAATTGTTTTTGGACTGTAGTGGGTGCAACAGATGTAGAAACAAAAATTGGATTTTACTCATATTTTTAAAGTGGAACTGATCAGAAGTTGTATCCGTTAGATACAGCCCCTGAAATAAAAGTGTCCTGAGAAGTCAATGGTGGGTAGATATGGGGGAAATAGAGAGACACATCTGTATAAGAACTGGTGGCATGGTTACCATCACCTCAGGAGGTTGATGGACTTTAGGAGGAAAGCACAGGTGAGTTAAGAAGAATAATGGACACAGGCTGCAGGGAGGGGGGCTTGAAATCAGTAGTGAGAGCGCTGTGGGTGGTAGGAATGAAAAGCCAAGAACTTAAACAAGCTCCATGTGATGCTAATGGGCTCTGGGGTACATTATGAATGTGTACATGGTGAATTATGAATATAAACATGTACTCAGTATTGTTGCTCATATCTGTAATCCCAACACCCAAGAGGCAAGGGCAAAAGGATCATTGTGAGTTCAGGATCCACGCCAACTCCATAAAGAGGTCTGGGTCAGCCAGAGCTGTATGGTGAGACCCTTTCCAAAATGACAGAAATTATGGAAAATTATTATGGGAGCGTGTGAATGAACTAAAACACTCAAGAGCTTTGAAGGAATGGACATTGAGACTAAGGGAACATGTATGAGAACATCAAATTACTCCCTGCATAGTACAACAGAGTAACTGCCAATCGCTTTAGTTTTTAAGAGGGAGGGAGAGGGAGGAAAGGGGAGAGAGAGAGAGAGAGAGAGAGAGAGAGAGAGAGAGAGAGAGAGAGAGAGAGAGAGAGAGAGAGAGAGAGAAGAATTACTCCTTGAAACAAGTTTTGCTAATGGATTGGTGTCCCGGCTTAGTGCTTTTAGGGGTGGAGGGAGAGAGGTGGAAACAGGATCCTTACATCACCTCCTGGGATGAGTGGTTCAGAGAGGCCGTCACCCCATAAAAGGACTGCAGGGGGAGCTGTAGGCCCTCGGGAGAGCCGGGTCATGCCTAAGGCAAGAATGAATCCAAATATCCATGTGTGGGCAGTGGAAATGCAGACTCTGCTAATGGTGGGCCATTCATCCCAGAGAACAGAATGGAGGTAGGAGTCTGCAGTTGAGGAAAGCAAGGAACAGGGCTGGGTTAGTCTTGAAGAACCTCAGAGGATGGTGTCAGTAATAAGGAATCTCTTGTGGTCCTGGGGTAGAGACAGCACTGTTTACAGTTCTGACTGCTAAGGAGTGTGGGAGGTCTGGTCCTAAGCAGTAGGGTTCTGAACCTTTCTCCTCAGACACAGACAAAGCTAGCAGTGGAGCAATATTGACTAAGGCTACAGACCTCCACAGCCTGCTCAGCTGACCACACTGTCCAAACCTGAAGCTAGATCCCTGTGAAGCCTTAGGGCTGTCCTTTTCCTTGCCCAGGAGACCTCAGTGGAAATGTGTATTTGAGACCTTTAGTAGCCAATGAGATCATGAGCAAGGGACAGAGTTCAAAATCTCCTTAATCTGCCAGTTCCAGGACACCCAACTTCCCTCCTGAGAGGCAAACACTGATAAGAAATCCTTCCAGAAATACATGTACACACACAAGCATTCAGTATATGTACTCTAAGTCATGACATGTCTTGCTTCCTTTTAGTGTGTTGATTTTAAAGAGAATTTTGGAGTTAATGGAATGACTCATTGGTTAAAGCACCTGCCTCATCTGATGACCTGGGTTGGATCCTTCAACACTTTGACAAAGGACTTGTAATTAAGAGGTCTATTCCATTCTAGCTTTAATGTAGCATTGTCTTAGGATAGAGATTTGAAAACTGCCAGTATATAAGGGCTACTTCCATTTTTCTATGAGCTGGTATTTCATGTCAATTTCTGTAAGTGTCTTCTGGGTGTTTTCTTGGTCGGAAAATTATTGTTGCTTGTTATATGAGTGAGAAAAATATATTGCACAGTGTCCTTTTATCTTGGATTTTTACTTATGGCATTTTCTTCATGCTGAAATTTCTCAGTTTTATGTACTTACCGATGAGTTTCTCTAGCATTTATTCTAAGGTTACTGAATCTTATGTCATATTTAAAAGTCCTTTGAGACTTTAAAACCCTCCACTTTTCTTTTAATACCTTTGTGGCCTCACTTTCATATTTTTAAAAATCTCATCTGAAATTTATTTCAGTAAATAAAATGAAATGGGAATTTTACTTTATTTTTTTTAACAGTTGGCAATCCACCAGTCACTTAGTAACTGATGACAGATTCTGTTTAGTTTCAGTTATTCATTTTGGGCATTTTCACTGTTCTGAGCTGGGGTTTAAACTCAGGGCCTCATGCACATGAAGCACTAGCTCGTCCCTGAGCCACAAGCTGCGCCCCATGCCACCGAGTTCAGTGCTGCTCTAGATGCACACAAGTGATGAAAGTGCTTGAATCTATTGAGTTATGTGTCTGAGATTGTTCATTCACCCACGTGTCAGTATCACGTTGGGGATGTTGTTGTTAGTGTTTGGGATGCTAGGAATTGAGCCTGGGGCCTCGCATATGCTAAGTGCTTGCTTAAGCTGTACCCCCCCACACACAATCATTAAAACCATAAATACTTCTGGTATCTTCTAGAGTTACATTAAAATAAAATTACCTTAGAGATTTTATGATGTTCAATTTCTTTTATACAAAACACATATTTCCAAATAATTCATCCTTCTTTATCCCTCAGTACCTTGCTGTTTTCAGATAAATGTTAAACAGCTGTACTATTTCATCTTTTCTGTTGTTGCTGTCAATATAGCTTTTCCCCCGTTCATCTACTCACTTTATATTGGCTACAGAAATCAAAACTATTGATTTCTGCACATAACCTGTTTTTAATTCTCCCACTTTCTATCATAGGTTTTTCCCTGTAACCCTTAACTTTTCTAGGTTAACAATTACTTTCATCAGCAATAATGATCGTCTTACACTTCCTCTTTCCAACTGTTTGAGAAATCTGCTTGCTCAAGATCCGCTGTGCATCAGTTAGTCTCACTGTGTAGGTCCTGTCTAGCCATACTGTAAAAAAGACAGCCCTGTCAACTCTAGAATCTAAGAGGAACACCTTAGGGTTTTCCCGCAGAGGCTTCTGAATTGGACACATATTATGATGCTAACATAACCATCTAGGCTCATTTTTAGCTTTCAGAACCAAGGCTGATCCCATGTTTCCCCTTTCAGCCTCGAATTGTCATGCTGATATTTACTTCCTGAACATACTATAACTAAAATCAGAGTTTTGCCTCTTTTACTTGGCAACATTATTTCCTCTGGTAATCAGAAATATCCTTTCGAGTGCAGCAACTCATTTCTGAATTCACATACTGGTAAATATGTTGACAACTGATTCAGTAAGGTGGGCCTGCTTGTTCGAAATGTCGGATTGGCTTAAACAACTCTCATATACCCATGGGAAAGTATAATTAAGACAAAGCTTATGAATTCACAGGGTCCAAGGCATACCAAGGCAGTAAGCAGACATCCCTGGGTGTGAATGTGAGAGATTCTGCTTTGGCTTCTCCTCCTTGGTCCACAGAACACACAGACAGTTTGGGTTGGAACTCCAAATTCTGCTGATAGAACAAACTTGTTTTTTCTTTCTAGAATACAGTGTGGAGCAATAGGCACAGGTAAAGCTATTGAATTCCATCATTAGCCAATCACCACACTTCTTTTGAGATCAACAATCATCGATCCCCTTGTATTGAAGATTCAAGTGTGTTGAACTAAATCTTCAGGGATCCACAGAGAGTGGTGTTAGGAACATAGCAGATGGGAATGCAGACCTATATCCAGATAATGTCCCAGGAGTAAAACACTAACCTTACACAAGAGTGAGGTGCAATGTAATCAACATAATCAACATGCCACCAGGTGATTGGCTAGTTCCTCTGGGATAAGGCACCACATACAGGACTCAGAGCCACTACATACCCAGTTAAGGATGATGGGGTCCAATTAGTTATGGTGATGGGTAAGTAGTGCTGGTTGTTAACCCTGTGCTTCTCTCATGTTTGTAACAATACCACTTGGTTCCCACATCTATCATGTATGCTCTTCTGCAATGACAGAGATTCACATCTATGGTATGTGGCATGCTGTTTTCTCCACAGAATGAATTCTCTTTGCTAGATGTTTCCATAGAAAAGACATATTCTTTACTTTGCTGTGGAAGTCTGCTTTCTGCTTCATCCTTACTGTCAAGTCTTTTTCCAAGTCCCTGACAGTAGGCCAATCAATCTCTTAACTGCCATCCATGCACTCCAGCCATCACTTCTTGACAGCAAGTAGTAGCTGTTTGAGATGTGCCCATCAATAATCTTCCTTTCTAAGTTCCCTGCTTTCTTTTTAAGACAAATTATGATTTAGGTTGTAAATCCCTGGTAGCTCTTTCTTTGCTGTATAATGGAGAACTGTCTAATCTCACTCATCTTCACTTGCTCAGGTCGGAGGCACGTTCGCCTTGCTTTGAAAACTGGTAGCTTCAAATTAAGCATTTACTCTGCATTGTAAATTGGGCCTGTGTTTCTAAGAAGCAAAATACCCCAAGTAGCAGAGGCAATGTCCTCTCCATAGAAGGATAACACTACTTCAGATAGAAAGGTGGAACTGAAATCTCTAGGTTAACCCTAATTAATTAGATGACTGGGGTATCTGAAAAGCATCATGTGGAATATATTTTGGATTATCTATCTATCTATTTATTTAAATTTTATTTTACTTTCCAACCTGAGTTATCTGTTCTGCTCCTCTTCTCACCTCCTCACAGCCAATCCCCCATACACTTCTCCCCCCAAATGATATGACTACCCATGGGGAGTTAACAAAGCCTGGCATGTTAAGTTGAGGCAGGACCAAGTCCCTCCCTGTGCCTTCAGGCTGAGCATGGCATCCTACCATAGGGAATTGGTTCCAGCAAGCTAGTTCATACACCAGGGATAGATCCTAGTCCTTCTGACAGGGGCCTCTACGATAGACTAAGCTACACAACTGTCTCCCACATGCAGAGGGCCTAGTTCAGGCACATTGAAGTGCCACAACTGTCAATTTAGAGCTCATGAGTTTTCAAGACCTTGGTTCAGCTATTTCTGTATATTTCCCCTTTATATCATGTAATATTTATTGAGAGATTCTCTTGCAAACACTAAGAACTACTCAGAATCTACTTGTTTTAAATGGAAACAGAAAAGAATGATACAACAGAATGATATGGTCATTACATGTTTAACTAAAATATCAGTTTTGCTTCACCAGTAATGGGGCAGATATCTCCACATGTCACCTGTCATAACATGAAGATAACATGAAGCACATCATGCCATTTACAGTTTTATCTGAATCAGCCTCTCAACCTTTTGACTACGATCAAGGGCAATTTTATATGAAATCTCCAAAATAAATCCTATTAAGTTTTCGACTGAAAACCCAGTTTCATATACTCCACATTTTGTATTCAGAGGACAAAAGAATAGGCTAGATGGTACTCTGAAGAAGCCAATGGGTAGTATAATCATTAAAATGAAGCACACTAGCCAGGTGGTTAATCCCAGGCACTTGGGAGGCAGAGGCAGGCAGATCTGTGTGAGTTTGATGCCATCCTGGTCTACAAATGAGTTCCAAGACAGCCAGGACTGTTACACTGAGACACCCTGTGTCAAAACATCAAAAAACAAACAAATAAGCAAAAACAAAAAAAGAAAAAGAAAAAAGAAAAGAAGGAAGGAAGGAAAGAAGGAAGAACCACTCTAGAGATAGTGCACCAGAATTTCTGGAGGCCAGCAATCTGTGTTTAGACAAGCTACCCTTGTAACCCTTATATCCACTGAAGTGTCTACAGCACCAATGAGCTGGGCTCTTATTTCAATAAACACAACAGCTGTGGAAAGAAAAGGAATATCATTTACATATATTTAATTAAGTGAAAGATTCTTAATAGAAATGAACTAAAAATACATTATTAAAAACAGGAACTTTTTGATATGGACCAGAGATAATAAACAATCTTGGTGGATAACAATATCTGAGTATTTGTGAAATATTTGGTTTTAGAGGTTCACTTCAAAGTATTTGGGTAGAAATATTATAATGTCTACAATTTGCTTTATAACACATTGATACAACATTTACCTCAAACATAGGAAAGCATGAAGAACTATAAAAATCAAGGTGATGGAAATACAGGTGATGTTCTACTTTTATTTCTGTTGATGTTATAAAATAGTCTAACTCCAAAGCAACATAGGGAGGAGAAGGTTTGTTTACTTTACAGTCCCAGGCATAGTCCATTACTGCAAGAAATTTACAATGACAAATACTTCTTTTCCATTTCCTGGTAGCACACACCATCATTTGGGAGACTGAAAATATATTTATTTGATCTTTATGATTCATCTTGTGTTAGTAGGACAGAATCCCCTAGAGTAAAAAGCTTTGGGTCTTGCTTTCTGCTGTGTTTAATAGACCTAGAAAAGGTATCTGTCACACAGAAGATGTAACATATATATATATATATATATATATATATATATATTCATATTCAGAAATTAAAAGAGAACAATTATAAAACTGACATTTCAATTGCACTGCAAAAACCCAATTAAAGAAATTAATAATGACTAACTCTAACATAGAATAATTTCCAAGTTGCTGTGATATAAACAGATAAAAGCATAATGCGCTTATGTTAATTCCAAAAATAAAATGAAAAGGCTAAGATAAATATCTGATGGAAAACCAAAGATTTATCAAAAAATAGGTTTTGTAACAGACATCCAAATTTATTGCAAGTTGTATTAAACATTGGAAAGGTAACGACTTCTTTACTGTCAGGTTAAGGCAACCTATATCTCACACTACTCCTCTGTATCTATAAAGTTGAAGTTAGTAGAAAGTGTTTTAGAGTTAGCAAGTTATTTTCTAAATTAACAGCAGCATGGGAAATAAATACTGGTCCTTTTGATCAGAACTTTCCAGAAACAGATCATCAATTCTAATATATGGTGGGCAGTAGAGTTGCAGGGCAATGCTACCCTCAGTCATAAAGTAGCCTCCACACTTTAGTCCTTGTCTTAGACTCAGTGTGATGTCCCTCAGCTCCACTGGGCATTCAGCCTTCATCATCTCACAATGCTGAGAAGCAGGTGGCCAAGAGGGTGACAGTGATAAGCAATGAAGCCAAGGCAAAATTCATCACTTAATGTTGCCAGATGATTCCACCAGCCTATTTTTCATGATGATAACTATAACTATATGAAAGCATTCAGAGATGCTGAAACTTGACTAGAGTGAGGCAGGTAAGGCATGGTCAAGTTTTAAGAAAAGGAATGACTCACAGGACAGAAAGGGACCTAGTTTATTTTTTGTTGAGAAAACAGGCATGCCTTCTGGACTGAACAGAAACATTTTCACAGAATATGGGGATATAGAAACATTGTGAGGATGTATGGAAGATTGGCAGCCACAAGAATCCAATGATAACATTTTAAGACACTGCAACACCAGAGAACAGAGTAAGGATTTCATCCAGGGACAGACTAATTAATATGAAACTATACCAAGACATTTAAATCCCCACACTTAGAAAAAAATGAATTTCACAGTGTCAGTGATCACTTATTCATAACTGTACAATTGTATAATCATCTTTCCAGTAGATAATCCAAGATTTAAACAGAAGCACGAGTCAACATTAATATGCAGCTGGCTAGATTCTCAGTCCCTTGGTAATCTCTCAATTCATACTCCGGAGTAGAGACCTTTTTAGCACGCCAGTTTGCAATGAACCAGCAGTGTAAAACAGAATGGCCAACTGCTCCTCTGTTAGTAACAAATGTGCTAATATGTACTAGTTTAAACTTGATCTATCAGTGAGTCAATGAACCATGAAGGGTGGGGGTTAATCAGGGTGTTCTCCAAACAAAGGCTCCTGAGAGCTGCAGGGACGCCACCCCCAGACTCACATCTGTGCTGTTTTGAGTTCTGTGCAATGGAAAGGGCCTGGTGCTCAACAAAGTTAAGAGCCCAGAATCCTGCCACCGTCTTGTAGATATTCACAACTATTCCACACAGGAAAGAAACCAAGTTGTTGGA